AACTGGAGGAGCGGTGAAGGTGACCTCCTTGGGTCCGATTTGGACTGATTTAGTAGCAGTAACAGTCTCATATTCTGTCACAGCCTTTCCAGAGACAGTGGCAGTCCTAGTTTCAGTCTTTGTGACTGGAGGAGCAGTAAAGGTAACCTCTTTGGGCCCAATTTGAACTGACTTAGTGATAGTCTCAGAAACTACCTTAGTGACGGTGTCGGCGTCTTCGGTGACTGTTTTGACGACAGTTTGAGCCTTTGGTGGGGCCTCAGTGACAATTTTGGTGGCAGTAACAGTCATGTCCTTTCCGGCAACTGTGGCAGTTCGAGTACAAGTGGTGGTGACAGTGCGTGTGACAGCTATTGATCAAAATAATGGACGAGTTAGCTTCATAAAAACCGTGAGATCATGATGAAACTATGATAATCCATAGTTCTTTACATACTGGTGGTCTCAGCAGCAGGTTCATCATAGCCATATGGTTTGGCGCTGGCAAGCTCAGCACCGAGCGCGATAGCAAGGAAAACTCCAGTGAACTTCATTGTGAAAGGAATGGATAGGTTCTTTTGGGGCAGCTCTGGCTCCGAGACTAGGTTCTTTTCTAAAAGGAATGTCGGGATTGATTTCGAGGCTCAACTGATCAGCTGATCAAAGGAATGAATGTGATTGAAAGAGTGTATTCAACGAAGGACTGGATGAAATCCGAGACTACTGCTTGATGAGGAGAAGAAAAAAAAAAGTTATCTGAGGCTTGCAGACCACTATTTATCATTGTCCAAAGGGAATACAGGCACCTGGCTTGGGACCAAGCTTGTATAGCACAATGTTTGCAAGTCATTCTATTAGGGCTCTAATAGTTAGCTTCAAAAACTGTATCATTTTTTTTAGGCGACCCCGGGGCAGTAGCGTCCCATTACCACGCTTGTACAAGTGAACAATTCTTGAACATAATCAAGCAAACCAAGCCGAAGCCAAACGGCTGGAGACCTCACTGCCAAGCTTACATCATCTGTTATACCCGCATCCTTTTATCTCTTTTGCGTCTCCGATGCGATCGATGCTACGTCGCAGTTTCCATTTCACGTAATTAACGAGAAAGGTGGGGACCTGAACTCGACACCCAAAGTTCCTCCGTTGTGTTGCGGGGGTTGTATATTTTCTGCTTGACTTAAGCGTAGACGCTTGCCTAAGTGGGAGTAAAGAACCTTTAATTCTGCCCAGCCTTTAAAACCGCTTAGCTTCTCCCTTACGGTGAGCGAATGTTTCTTGGTATATCAGAAACATTAACATTCCTTTGTCTCGGTCCAGTGATTCAATGAACTGAGAAGTGACCCCAGAGAACGTTCCGGCAAGCTGCTGTTCTAACATTTCTTGACGCCTTCTTGGGCCGCCTTATGCGAGTTCAACCCGGAAAAACGAAGTATAAGCGACAGATAGGACTAGATCCGGAATCGCAATGATTTGTCCTTTTGGGGTTCGGCTAAGCGTCGCATGCTATTGACATATGTATGCACGAGGGTGGCGCTCCGTTAGTATAGTACGAGTATTCCAGTAAATTAGTACCGATTTATATATAACTATTGTTAACAACTGAGCTGAAAAATATTTAAACCGGGGAAACTTTGGAAGCCACCTCGGCTCAAAGAGGGGTTTCACCTGCCACGAAGTACACTTAGTAGTTTGCAGATACAAAAATACTTTTAAGGCGATATCGATAACTTATAACGTTATTTACGGCGAGGGTTTGAGAATATATTGGGCTACAAAGGTAGTTCCTTCCTTCGGGTTATTTGTTTCGATTAGGTATGTGTTCGAAGTTCGGAGTCGTTGAAAAGCGGCACAAAGATGTTAAGCTAAATAAACTAGTCTTGGAACTTTGGCCCGAGGAGAAAAAGGTTCTCCTGCGAATAAGTGCTCACACGAATGATTATAGCACGACGTACATATGGTTTGAGGGGATCTAACAACTAGGGCCTCTAGAGGAGCTAGGGACGGCTATGACTTCTGCATAGTGAAGGAATATTTATTGGTGTTATAACATGCTCACATATACGTATAGTCTGTAAACTTTTTCAAAAAGCTAAAAAAATGCTAGAACATCTCGGCTTGGCATTCTTCTTCTAGGTCTGGTTCCTGGCAAGTTCCGAACTTATCACCTGTTAGGCTTTCGGCCTGCTCGCCGACGGTCCATGATATCGATTTAAACTTCCCACAGATGGGAGGCTTTTCGTTGCTTCAGAGTTCTTAGCTTGAGGGTAGTCAGCACCGACCCTAAAATTCGAATATTCAACTATGGGATTCTGATCTCGACCCCAGCCGCCAGTATAACGAAAGATGGGATTCTAGTTCTGGTTTCCAGATCTAGATCTGGTCCGGTGACAGGTCACAAACACCCCTTCCGTACGTTCTCTTTTAGTGTCAGTAGGTGGAGGAAAACTACGGGGCTTCCCTGTTGAAGTTGTATTCGAAGAATTCGCTAGTTATTGCTCTGCTCAGAAGCTTCGAAGTCTTAAATACTCAAATATCCCTCAACCCAAGCGTTCTGGCCCCGTGATATTGAGTTCTAATACGTTGTCGACGCAGGACTTCATGGGAAATGGTTGGGGGCAACCACTGAGCGGACTGCAGAAATGTTGCCTAGACATGGTCTTGACCTAGATGTTGCTGGTTCGCCCGTCCCCGAGTTACTAATCTTATTGTGATATTGGTGACGATAGTGACTCTAGTACCCACTAGGTTGTCCGCAGTGGGATGAAATTGAAATAAGGCCGACAATATTTTCCTTGGTTTCCTTGGGTAGCTTGGATATATAGTCTTTTGGAAAGATTGGGAGTTCGGTCAATTAATCAAAGTTGGGGGTCGCTCGGTCTCGTATCCCAGCCTTCACAAATTGACAACTGTCGCTCGCATGTTCTTATGCCTTCCGGAAGCTAGATCGTGTCTTTCGTAAGACTGTTTATGGAGCTCACAAACAAAATATGGACCATTGTCATTTAGTCTTGAAGTCGAAGAGGGATGTTGGGGGAAAGCCTCCCCAACCAAACCCACAAGAGAGAGAGGCAAAGCGTCCGTCCGGAACAAATCTTGATGTATTAGTCAGGTCCGCTGCTTCATAGAATGGATCCCAGAGACTCACCTGTCTTCTTGATGATCTGATAAGACAACTTAAATATCCCATGTAATGGAACTAGATGCCAAATAGGTATGTGGAGTCACATGTTGCAGGTAACAGGTTTTTTTAGTCTACGAATAACACTCGCCAAGATAAATTATTGCAATATCTCATACCCTGACTACTGATCATCAGGTATGATGGCTTGATCTTCTTCTCCCTCGAAGCCTTAACTTCTTCTATAACCCTCGAAACCCGGGACGGAAAGTGGGTCGTTACAAAACTGCATCCCCTTCATCGACAATGCGGGAAGGGAGAATTTACCCGATGTAGGCGCCTTTAAAGAATGTGACACAGCGGACTAGAAATCAACCCGTTCCTTGGATATACATCGACACCACGACACATAGAGCAGCTGACTGTGCCAGTCAACAGGAAAAACCAGCCAACAAGAATGTCCAAAATTCAGGGTATTAGCCCATGCATAGACTTAGGTAAACGTACATGGAAGGATCCCAAGAAAATCGCCTATAGCTTCCCAATTCCCACCTGCTGCTGGGAAAGAATCATCCGATCATGATGCTGAAAATAATATCCCGAGCGAGATAGAGCGAGATATTTCATTTCGGTTATTTCGATGGCCGCCTCTGCTTCAGCCTCCGTGTGTGACTTTCTTAACTCGGAAAGAACGAAAGCCCCCCGTGGTGAAGCTGAGTGCATTGACATGCAGGTACGGGAACATGCAACGACGATATCGAAGCGAGGGGTCATGCTTTACGTACGTACGGCTGAGTGGCAGCGGCATTAACACCGATAAAATCTAGAAGTGTGCGCCGCCGTATTCTAGAAATCGAAGTCTGTGGGGTGTCAACTGTCAAGTTCTAGCGAGCAATGCAATATGGACCGTATGCAGGACCCAACGGGGGTGCATGAAACACAACCGCGCTTCTTTCTTTTCCGGAAGGCGGAAAGCTTCCCGGGGAGGATGGCTTTCAGAATTTTTGATTTTCATGGTTGGGGTTCGGTTTCTCTTGGCCTAGAAGATCTAATCATTGATAGTACCACATTGACATGGGAAATCCAGTTCATACTTTCCTGATTGCTAATAGAATAAACATAACAAAATATTTTTGTATCACTCTGTCGTATTCTGGGCTCCCCAATCCCGCTACCAGGCTCGGGACGAAAGACATTAATTGATGAAGTCCTGTCAAGTTAGGACCTTGAACCTGGCCGGCTTTCTGGAATCCTTGTTGAGCAGGTTTTAGGTCCGGAAATCCCTAATATTCTCACAACTTCTGTTTTCGTGATAGACAGGTCGAGGTCACTAAACAACTTTTTTATAGGTATCTTCATCTATTATCAATGCCAATGCCGCATTGGAACAGCGGGTTTTCGCGGCATCCGCAAGATGGCCGGTCGACCGGCCGTTTAAGCGATAGCATTTGTCTCCGATTGAAATTGCTCGAGGGAAAACTTTGTCTGGAAAGGAAAACAATTTGGTTCTGACTTAAAGACGGGTAACCTAAGTACAACATTCCTAATTCAATGGGAAGTCGTAGGAACTTCGTCAACCTCCATCTATGGCCTGCCAGATTGCGGCTAGATGGGCAAACTTTTTGTGCATTTTTTCGACGGCCATTAGTTAAGGCTGGGGAAAAGCTTTGTTGGTCCGTGTTGTGTGGCTGGAGCGCTGTCCCAAAGAGGTAACCGGTCCCGTTTTGGAAACTACCTCGGCATGAATTTCGAGGAAATTTTATCACCAATTTTAATCAAAATTCGAGTCTCGCCACGACTCTGGGTTTTCCTTAGGTCTTCCTTGGTGCTTTCTTGGGAGACTTCGATTAGGGCGGGAGGATTGGCCCAGGGTCTTAACGTAATTGATGCCGTGTCGGTGCCGAGATGGTGGCTTCGAACTCCTGTTTTGTAATCTAAATTGAGAGTAGATGTTTAATCGATGACCGAAATAATCTATTCGCTTCGAGTGAGGCAAGCTAAGAAATGCCAGCGACGTTGGCAAATCAGTTTTTAGGCCTAGTTGCGGCGCCAAAGAATTCTTTATAGCTTCTAGAAATATCTTCCGTGGATTTGCTCGTTTAAAAAGGAACGCTAAAAATAGGGCAAAACTGGGACGGTGAAGCATCGGCGGGCACTTTCAGCTCGAACAGCTGCGCCTCTGCCACACTCGACCCCTTGCGACAGGGCCACCGCCATGTGGTAGCGGCAGGCTACCGATATCAACACATCGAGTATCGATAGCATCATTGACCACGACTCGAAACATCTACGGATTTCTAAGGGCGGTTATCGATCGAAGGGAAAGAATTGGCGAGAGACATGGGATCGTGGAGAAACGGTACTTGATCATCTTGATCAGCCCAGTTCTGATACTCGTAGGCCTTCAGATTAGTTCGCCGATACCCGAGATTGCTATTCTTTGCCTCAATGCGATCTCTTGCGTTTGCCGGTCATTCCTTTCGGGCAGTTCTTCAGAGACGCATAAGCGAGCGCAGGATCGAAGAGTCCACACCTCCAGGTTTCCATGAGATATGATATGATCGATACCCACCGTTGCATTGGTATCGCGCTTCGAAGTAGATGTTCATAGCGGTCATGATATCAAGCCGTCTTTGACCCCGCACCAACCATCCGAGTTCCTTCCTGCCAGAGCCAAGCGATATATCGATACACTTTCCAGATATACACAAAAGATGGGCTGACAACCACGCTATTGATGCCTTCCATACTACCTGAGGGATTCTGAGCTGGTTTTCCCATGGCCATGGTGAAGAAGCTGAAGTAAGGTCAAGCTTCGTAGTAGGGGCTTTGAAAGTTTTGGAGATGCCTTTTACGATCCTAATACCTCCACGGACCAGGTGGTTTAGCATTGGGAGTTAGTTCCCGGCAGGGGTCCACGTGGTATTGAGAGTTCATCAACCGCTAGTACTTTGCATGTTGAATGGCAGCCTTCAGCGATCTGCTGCAGGAGAAGCGGTGCAACAGTAAATGTGTGATATGATTCTGTGCGGCGAGGAGTGTCAAAGAAAAAGTAGCGTGGGGAGCCGAAACGTACACCAGGTCTGTATGCAATTTGCGGTTCACTGCATGTTTCACTCAATATGTCTAGGTATATCGCAAGCGACTGGGACGTTGTATACATGAAGTGTCTCTCGAACCGACACCAAATTTGAATACTTTCTTGGATATCCACCAAGTCCACCAAGAATACAATCTCTAACGACGCTAGACGGATGGACTTCATGGTCACTTCCCTCTTATCCGGCAACACAATTAGACTTGGGCTCGGTTTACTCGAATTGGACTTAGCCTACGAGCTCGCATGATTTTCACACAAACCCACCCACAGCCATGTTCGGAAGGATGCACGTCCCAAATTTTCTATGGTGGTGCTGCCCTGGTGATGTGCTTTTTTCGTTGTTTGGCTAAACCCTGGGCCTGCAAAATTTTGAACCCATGCGAAATTCCCCGACCCTCTCTGGCGAGTCCTTGGAGGCTACAGGCCTCTACCAAATACGGGCAGGTACCAATTCGAGATCTCCCCTGCACCGAGGTAGATACTTGTATTCACGTTCCCTGTTGAGGATGGGAGGGGAAAAAAAGAAATCTTATCACCGAAGGAAACTATCGACAGGCAACATCGAGGCAAGTGTCATGTTCAGTAAAAAAACGCTTCTGATAGAAAGGCTCGCAACTTTACGCCGTATAAGAATATGTCGGTCCCGCACTTGAAACATCGTATTGCAGCAGTGTGCAGCATCGATCAGCTCTCAGTCTGTCCACCAACTTATAATACCGAGACATTACGCAACATTTAAATTTTGTACCTGCGCCCGTTCCAAATGTCGGACCAACCTGCTCTAGGAATGGCCCTACCGGGCCTCAAAATAGATACATATGCTGTCTCCTCCAATTTACAGGTACCGTACATTTACACTTTGATTCCCATATTCTCCAACCTTTTGACGTTTTTTATTTTTTCCCAAACATAAAATTACTATTTCGACAAAGATTTGCATTAAGTTTGCAATACTACTCTGCTTGCTCGGAACTCGGACTAATCCAATTCCTATTTTTTATTTTTGTTCAACTATAGGGCTGTGAGGGGGTCTCTGAAGCTTTTGCTATCGAGATCGAAGGAAAGGTTTATGCTTTCATAGCACCAGAAACACTCGACATTCAAAGCATTGAAAAAACGGTCACGTCCACTTTGGACGAGAACCTCGTTCGCCCGGCTGGTTACTACGCTATTGCGCAGATGCCGTATACGCCAAAGGGTCAGATCGATGAAGGAGAGTTGGCGGCCAGATTCAAAGGATATGAGAAGTCCACAGACGATTTACTACCCCTACCACCAAAGGTCTATTGCAAGGAACTCGACTCCAAGATCTCATCTTCCGCATCCAGTGTATGCTCCAAGGGCCTTCCCGAGAATACATCATGGCAGGATCAGTACTTGGAAAGCCAACTGCCAGAGAAGCAGCTCGCCAGGCCACTCCGCAATTTGCGATACATCAGCATGATCATTTACCGACGTATATTTGCGATTATCTTCATTGCCAACTTGATTCCTTTCTGCTGGCTCCTTTATAAGGGAACCAACTGTACTACTCTCGCCACTGCCGTCAGCGCCAACTTGTTGCCTTCGACACTCATTAGAAATGATAATGTCGTCAACGCACTGTTCTGGATGGGTAAGTTAAAATGCAACAGACTGAGTTATCGTCGAGTCAACAACGCATGGATTCTAACATTTTGATTTCTTCTTCTAGCGAGTTGGGTTCCACGATCCTGGCCTCTTTGGATTCGTAAAAATGCGGCAAAGGTCTACCACTTGGGCGGTATCCACAGCGGATGCGCTGTTTCTGCAACTTTCTGGTTCGGTTTCTTGGTTGTTCAGGCCAGCTTCGATGCATTCCGTCCCAGTCTCGTCGACCCATCCCGCAAAATGATCTCGACTGCCACTTTGGGTGTCACATACGCTATCATGCTCCTCTTCACCATCATCCTCACATTCGCCCATCCAAGCATCCGTAGAAAGATCCACAACCAGTTCGAGCAAACCCACAGATTTTCCGGCTGGACTGTTTTGCTTTTCTTCTGGGTCTTGACTTTCCTCCTTATCAACGATTTCACCGGTCCAAAGATGTCTGTCACTATGGTCACCATGCACACTCCTGGATTCTGGATTCTTATCATCATCACTCTCTCGATCGCTTCCCCATGGCTCCACCTCAGGAAAGTTAATATCGTTCCAGAGAAGCTCTCCGAACATGCTGTCCGTCTCCACTTCGACTACCGCAACAACCCAGTTCCAGGATCTTTCGTTCGTCTCTCTGACAAGCCACTTATGGAATGGCACGCCTTCGCTACCATTGCCGTCCCTAACCGCAATGGCTTCTCTGTTGTCGTTAGCAGAGCCGGTGATTGGACTAGCAAGTACATCGCCAATCCTCCTACAAGAATGTGGATACGTGGTATTCCAACTCGTGGTGTCATGAACGTCGCACACTGCTTCAACAGTGTCGTTGTTGTTGGTACTGGTTCTGGAATTGGTCCTTGTCTCCCAGTTCTTCTCGCTGCTGCAAAGAATGGTATCAAGGTCCGAGTTCTCTGGTCTACTCCTAAGCCACAAGAGACATTTGGTAGCGAAATCGTCAACGGTGTTACCACTGCTGATCCCAATGCCATTATCTGGGATACCAGAGTCAAGGGCAAGCCTGATATGGTCAAGCTTGTTTGGGGACTTGTTCAAGAATCTCAAGCCGAAGCCGTTGTGATCATCAGCAACCCAGCTTTGACTAAGAAGGTTGTGTACGGCATGGAATCCCGAGGTGTGGCTGCGTACGGTGCCATCTGGGACTCTTAATTTCTAATCTATAATCATATTCTGCTTTTCGGTTGGGATCTTGTATTCGATTCGGATCACTCGTTTACCCTTGCATCCTTTTTTTGACATAAAAAGCGCTTGTTTTTTTTTAATGACTTTTTCTTTTATATACCAAGATATCCTAGCATGGAAGCCGGAGTTTCTCTTTTTTTCTTTTCTTTTTTTATATTATAATTCGGCATTCAGTTCACACTAGCTATTTGTATATATTTCTCACAGTTAGTAGGGGAACGATGTCTTTCTATTCGTTTATTGTATATATAATTAGGGAAATTAGTAGATTAGACAGTGCGAAGGAAATAGATTAACATACATTGGAACAACAAATTCTAAATCCCAATATTTGCATAAGCCCGGTGAACGAAAACTCGGAGACGCTTACATAGAGAACCCGGAAGCTGCCAATTAATTTCTATCGCTTCGGACTCTTAAAGTTTCTGTGTTGCTATCGATATCCCTAGAACGGCATATCCGGACATATATGCATTGCATCGCACAGATGCATTAAAAAAAAAATCTCGCCAGATAAAGTAAATCATGCATTTAAACCAGGTTTCATTCCATCATTAATCGTTAGTTCCCGTCTAAAATCCTGCCGGGATCGCTAAGTTTTTCGGTAAATTTTTTGACAGTTATAATGCAATGCATGCATATTAATGCGTCATGATATCAGGCCATTCCGACCAATATAGTGTATCCAAAAACCCATCCTATAATGAGATTTAAAGCCCATATCTCCCCGCTTGTCCTGGTCCCATCATTTCTTCCTACGGGCGATAACTTCTGTGCTGCTGCTGCGGTTGTTACAATTACTGGTACTCCATCTTGTAGTGTAGTCGTAGCCGGACAATTGTATACCCCGCATCCATATCCTATAAATCATTTGCACCAGTTAACTCCTTACTCAAAGCCCAGGTATGCAAAGAAGCAATAAAACTCACCGGAAGGGCAGCATCCGCCCTGCACCTCAGCCGGACATTGTAACCATCCCGCCGGACACCCATTATTCGTAGTCACGGTCACTACTCCCGTGCTCCCGTTGCTACCATCATCAGTAGGAACAGGACAGTATCCTACCCCGCAATCTCTCCCAAATCTACAACAACCACCTCCAAACTCAGCACCACACGTCAGCCATCCATTCGGACAGTTGTTTAGGCTCAAGATATTGCCAGGTGCGTTGGTGATTTTTGGTGCATCCTGCGTGTTATTCCCTGTTATTGAAGCAGCGGTGACAGTTGCTATGTCTATCGTTGAAAATCCGGGACCGAAGTCTGTGGTCCCGGGATTGATGATTACACTGCCTGTGGTGCCTATTACGAATGTTGGAGCAATGTACTCGGCGCCTGGCGTGCCTGTGCCAGTGTTGTAGGGACAGGCGTGAAGGGCACAGTGGTAGCCAACTTGGCAGCAGCCTTTGATGAGTTAAATCAGATCTGTTAGCTGCAGTTATTTTTTCTCTAGTGGTGAATGCGTATAAAAATTATTATGGACCTACCATAGTTGAAAGAGCCAGGGCAAGGATAGTACCCTGTCTGACAGATATCTAGTCCGATCGTCGTAGTCGATACCCAGCTTACAGTTGTTGGAGGAGGTATATTGGAGGTATTTATGAGACAACCTTGAGGAGAGCAGATATAACCTGGAAGGCAGCATCCCCCACCAGATCCCGAGGGACATTTACTATAGCTATATATATATATGTTATAGATATATCAGTATCTATCAGAACTTGTACAACGTATCTGTAATCGAACCTACCCAGGCGCACAAGTATCAAGACTATCGCCACATGGTTCGTTGTCTATTCGATTATCTAAGGTTTAACTACTTCGTCACGACTGTGCTTGTATAGAGGGACATAAACCTACTTGGGCAACATCCTACACTACCAAACCCGGTATCTTGAATGCTCACACAGCTCGTCCCGCCCGGACAACAATACCCAGGCTTCTGAATATTCGTACACGGTGAGTTCCCCGGTGGACAGGTCGCATCCGTCCGTACTTGCCGTTTTCGAAGCGCCGGTGGATATTTGAACCAAATAGTCCAGTCCTTGCCGTCTCTATCCTCATGGTGGGAGGCATGAGGGTTTACTGGTAAATACAGTCTCCCAGGTTGTAGTCTATCCTCATTGCCCATGGGATACTTTCCAGAATAAGATATGAAAGAGTCGAAATCATAATACTTTTCTCCTTCGTCGGCGTTAACATGAGCGAGGAGTTTCATTACCGGCTTATTAGGTCTCCGCACTACATCCTGTGAGTCGTAGCGCTCATATTGTCGGACGAGTTCGTCGATATCCTTTTGATAGTACTTTGCAGTCGCAGGAAGACGCAGAGTATATCTCGCTCTATCAGTAGTGGTAGCAGTAGTCGCATCTACAAATACATTCAACCCGGTAATCAAAAAGAGGAGAGCGCAAGTTGTCGCTGTCATGATTTCGTGTTGTTTATGCCAAGCCAAACGTGGTAAAACTCGTGAAGCTTTTCAGCTCAGGCGACCCGTTTGAAACCTGCTGGAGAGAAGTTACGCTGACGGGTTTGGAAATAACTCTGGAAATGGAAGCGGTCACTAAAGTTTCATGTTGTACAGGAAAATATGTATGCCATGCGACGTTGAAGAAGTGGTTTAGTGGAAGGAGGTGCGTATTTATTGTCGCATCGTGACCATTTATGCCTGATGACGTTCGAATGCAGGCGGCTGGTTGCACTAGACGGGGCTCCACACACGGCCGGCAAGATATTACCCGCGTCGAGCGGTGTGTGGATATTCACAAAGACGTAGATGATGTAAATAGAAATCGGGGCCTGCGAGAACATAGAAACCGCTCAGTTTTAACCGTTCCGTACAAATACACGATCCATATTATGCAAAATCCCAAGACCTGAAACCCGTGCCAGAAGAAAGAAACTAGTAGGTAGATAGTAGACGCCAGTCACTAGGATACAACCCACACTACACCTTGAACCCTTGCAAAGAACCCTTTTACGGCGCGTACTAGAATCATATATGTTAGCATAAAACCTGAGAATTTTTCTTTGTATGGCATGGGTAACTTATCATACCTGAGTAGCAACTGGAGCACCAGTACCGCCAGCTCCAGGAACCGCGCTGACATCTGCCGGCGACGAGTCCATCTTGACATTCGCACTACCATATGGCATGTTACACATCCAAGAAAACACTGTCCCGCCCTTGATCAACAACCCGTCCCCAGAGTCCTTTTCGCAGATCTGAGCTAGCCATCCAACGTGACCACCAGCCTTATTACAAGTCTTATCGGCATAGAAAGCACAGCACATAGTACCCTCGATCTTGGCACTAAGGAAGGTACCCGGGTCACCGCTCCAGCCGAACCAATGTTCATTATCATAGCAGAATTGGGCGGCGGAGACCCAGACAGCGTCGCAGCTCGATTGAGTTGTGTCGCGACACATGTTCACGATAAAGTTTGCAGCACCCTTCTGACGCTTCTTAAGAGCCTTTTCGGACTTGTCGATGACTACTCCAGGTGGTGGGAAGAGATGCTCGTCGAAAGAGGGGCGATGGTAAGGGTTTGAGAAATCGGGAATGTCTGTGGCTCCAGCCATCTGAGCTGGGACTGTGAGAGTTGCAGCTGAGGCTAAGAGGGGTAGGAGGGAGGCCCCCAGAGATATAACGTTGGAGATATGCATTTTGATAGATTGAGAGCTATGTGTAGATAGCAAGGTCTAGATAAGTAGTAGGTAGCTTGTTAGCACTCGCGATATTCAACAGACAAGTGGGTATCTCGGAAGGCCGGGGCTTACTTAGTACCTGATACTAAGCCGCGACAGTCCAGCTGACGACAAACAACAAACAGTCGCGATGTAGATACAAGTAACGATTGGAAACTGCTCAGAAGCGACCGTGAGGATTCTTTCTCTTGATGTCTGCGGATAAAGATCGATTGATGTAGTGATGGAGAATTTGAAGGTCGGGGGGTTGATTGATGCTAAAGTTGGAGGTGTACGCAAGAAAGGGGTGCCGCATGAGAGCCGAGATAATTTGGCAGGGGAGGCGCCTTCCGGAACTAAAAATTGCCCTGCCACAATTCTCCACAGCGTCACAACGAAATGTAACTTCAGATGTATGGAGTTAGGTAGATATACGACAAAACATCCCGCTAAATAGAAGTACAGCAAAGATTCTAGCCGTTGATATTTACTACAGCGACTAGATTTGGGACATGTTTTTACATATTAACATTGATTATAGATTATATATGATAATTAAAATTGTTACACATGCACATGAAATATTGATGCTGATGAGATACGCCTCGAGACCCTATACTCTGTCTTATTGAGATGGTTGGATACGAGATCTCGCACAGATTTAAATTGGAAATTCGCTGAGGCTAGCGCATGAATTTGTGAAATCAAGTTGCAGTCGAAGTACCTAGATACTAATATCCTAGACTCAAGTTCGGTATGCATATATGCCCAGTAAACGTTGATGATAATGAAGTTATAAAAAACAACTATACTACATTTATACATGAAGCTGAGAGGAAGAGGTTAACAACAATACTAGTAGACTGCGACCTCACTCCAAGTCCACTTTAAGCCCCTCGGCAATATAGATATGCCTATATCAGTTATTTCTTGCCCTCAATCTCCTGATATCGCCTCCAATGAGTTTTAGACCTTTCTTCCCTCGCCGATGAATTCTTGCCTGCCGCAACCGACCGCTTATAGTAGGAATAGCCTTGATTTGGATAGTTATAGTAATAATAGTAGTTTTGATTCTGATTCTGGTTCTGATTCTGGGGGTAATTATAATAGTAGTTCTGCTGCTGGTTTTGGTTTGGATTCTGATAATAGTTCTGCTGGTTCTGATTCGGCGTCTGGTAGTAGTTTTGTCCGTTATTGCCATTATTCTGGGGGACATTATTGTTGATTTGCTGTCCATTATTTGGAGAACTCAGGCCATTGGCGCTAAGAACGCCCTGCATTCTCACAACATCGTCGTTCGTGAGCTCTCGTTCGGAAAACATGTTACCGATGAAGGCAGACATGATCGAGTTCGGGTCATTGGCGTGACTGAGTCCAAGGACGTGGCCGAATTCATGCAAAAAGAGAGTATGTATCGCCGAAGGAGTCCATTGGGCAAATGCGGGTCCCTTGAATCTGACATAACTTTGCTCACCGCCCGAGGGTCCAATGTTGGCATACGCTTGCGTCTGGGGATTTTGTAGGAAAAACTGGTCATTGGCATCGACAACTGAGATTGTCACGTTGGCGTTCCCGTTTGCCTTTTGGAAGGTATAAGGGCAGACTCGGGCCCATTTCGACCAAGCCCGTTCAAAGGACGCCTCCATAGTAGCTTGGTCGGATCCTGGGAGAACGCCCTGGACTTGGTATCGGAATACAAAGCCATTGGGCCATGCCTGGCTGCCGTATTGGCGTTTGCATATATTTGAACCGGTGCAGCTAGGTCTTATCGACCCTTTGCCATGTATTCCGCACATTTTGAAGATTGATTGTCCGGGAGTTGGAAACTTGTAATATATATCTCGGGATGTCTGGAGATATAACTAGGGAGATATATGTGAAGAACTAGATTAATTATTCCCAAGATCCTGTGCGACGAAACCGGCCCTCTAATGGATTCTTTAGGATAATATGATGACTCGTAAGCGAATGACGGTGGTAAACTTCAAAATAGATTGATCAATTAAGAAACGAGTGACAAGAATTGAATTGAAGAACGGAAGTCCAGCTTCCAATTAGAGCGGTTAAAGGAATCGAAATGGCTTCGACGAAGTAGAAACTTGTAGCTGTACGACGAAAGGAAGTGGATCTCGATATCTCAGGCACCGCACTGGACACACGCCACTTTACTTATATTATATTTCGTCCATCTTAAGAGACTCCCTTAAACTTCTAGAACTCCATGAATCTTCGGACTATAAAAAATGATACCACATTGTCGGGTTTTCCGAGCCTGGCCAACCAGCGCTGCTACCAGACAAAGTCCAAACTGCTTTTTCCGTTACTCCCCGACCACTTTCACTACCAAGGTGTTTTACAACAGCTGGCTGTTTTGCAGGGCGAGTTACACAAAATATAGCCCTCAAGTCCCCCAAACGATGCGGAGTCATGGTTTCTGAGGCATACTAGTCCGTATTTGGTATTGCATTAGACTTCTTTAGGAAGGTAAACCCTTTTAAATTTCCCAAACGGACCTAAAACGACGGTCTAGCACGCTAGTCTCAAAAGCCCCTACCAGCGGCGCTTCGAACAACGACCAAGCCCCGGCCTGGCCTCGTGGTGCTTCGCTTTCAAGACGCTTTCAAGCTAGACGAGGTTATGATATTCGTCATATGCGAAGTCCGTCCTGAATTAACCTTAATTAACAATGCTTTTAAAAAGTAACCGACCCCCTCCTCAAATTGTTGCATTGGCATGCCATGAATGACGTCCTTTTCTTGCCTTGAGGGCAACCGTTAGGGACTAAGACTTTTTGTATCGAAATGGCTACCAGCTTCCACCTCTCGGCTTTTAAAAACATTTCTCTCTCACAAATGAATATATATATATGCGCATTTATGGGCATTTTTAGAGTATCTTTCGGACAAAACCAACTTTCGTGGTCATTTTGAGAAGTTGCAATTGTGGGATACATTATAGAGATGATGCCTAGCATTTTGTGATAATCCGTTGAGCTCCAGAGTTGATTGAAATTAACTCCGTAAGACCAAGAATTGCTAGGAAGTTGTGAACCAAGTTGAGTTGCTATTAGTTTTGAACTCAGACCCCACAGTAGGTAGAAGTTGGCCAAGGAGGCCCCGTATGGGACGAGTTAGTGGCCAGTAAACTTTGGTAGAAAGGGATTAAGTTGACAAATCTTTAGAAAACAGATAGCTAGTTCCCTCAAATTCTGTAGGAGACGAACGATATACACTGCTAGGCGGGAGGCGCTCATGCAAGTGCACACATTCATAAATATTCGGATGCAAAAGAAATGTATGCGTGTGAGTTTTCGTAAAGTGATAAGTATATTGAAAGAACAAGTTCTAAATTACAATCTATCTTCTCATTATATATCTGACAGGGGCTCCGGGATATTACTGTCAGTGATGAAGAATTCTCAGGGTAAATACAATCCGAGACCACTTCAAATTGGTTCCCCATATTGGTTGGCCGGTTCTTCCTTTTTGTCCTCTGCCTTCAGCACGTTACAATTGAAAGAGCGGTATGAACACTTGAGTTCCATTTCAAGGGGGGTTAGTTCTTCTCTTCCATCGCACCAAGAAAACAGTGCCCCTTGAGTTATTGGATTGAATGGTAGCAAGTGGCTCGAGCCGTCCTTGCATCTAAATTCCTCAAGTCTGTACTGGATCATGTCGCCGTTCTGGGCACGGATCGATAAAGAGGTTCCTTTTCGTTCGTTGATTTTCTCCCTCTTAATTGCTTTGATGATATCCCGAGCCTCTGGTCGGGGTGGGATCTCAACCTTCCTCTTGCTGAAGGGAATGCATCTCCGGTTTGGCTCCGGCTCTGAGATCTTTACAATAGTTCCCTCGGTTTTGGGAAGCTTGAAACCGAGAAAGCCGACAACGTTCTCGAGCACAAACTTGGTGATGGGATCAATGACAACATTGTAGACAATGTTGACGGAACTTCCTTCCTCGAACCCAATTCCGGCAACATCTCCGCAAGGACTGAGCTCGGGTTCATCGCCAGGTTCCTCGGGCTCGCCGTTAGGTTTAAGCCCAACAACAGCCTTCCAGGTGTGCTTTGCTTCCAATCCAATGAAAACTCCGCGCTTGAATACACCCTTCAACATATCAAACCCGAGACCGAATCCAAGACGAACATAAGGTGAGACTTCCATAGTAGCAGCCATTGTGCGGACCTCACCAATAGGCTTAATAGAGAATGTTTCCCATCCAGGAGTTGAAGCAGAGATTTCGTCCCCAATATGGAGTGCGATGCCACCCTTTCCAGTGTCGAGCTCAAATCCGAAATCCATGTCCACTTCGCCCTTGATGGTCACCGCAGTTCCAGGTCCATTAGCAACATCAGGCAGGAAGCTAAGAAATTCTCCAACGATAAAGGCTTCTAGGACGCCGTTAATGCCTTCAGCTACACCGTTGATATCCTCTCCGTATTCGAGAGTGCCTTGGTATGCGATGTCGAGCTTGGTTCTGAAATTGGGTTGGAAGGTGAAGTCAATATCTACTGATTCTCTAACACGGCTGATCTTCATGTTCAGAGTCGGGTTGGATTTGACATAGCATCCCATACAAGCGATTTTGCTCTCGTAATCGAAGGCATCAAAGGATCCTAGGAAGTGATGAATTGTGGTATTATCGTTTTCGTTACCCCAGTTGAAGGTCCATGGTGCTGGTATCGTGCCGTCCAAGACATTCTGTCCAGCGGGGATTAGCTCTGCAATTTTGCTACGAAATTCCCCAAGAGCTTCTTTTCCAGCTGCTGCAAATGCTTTAACGGGATCGACTTTGTAAGGTTCGCATTCTTCGACGAGTAAGGATGCTAGTGGAACAATATTGCAAGCCGCCACGGCGAGACCGAGTGTAGCGGGATTTTGTTTGATGAGGTCTGCCAACTGGCGTTTTGCAATCTCGCTAGGTCTCTCTGGTGCTGGGAGAGTAGAAACCTGGAGCTGAAATAACTGCGCGGTTTCATCCCAAGAAGCCGGTTCTCTTGTCAGGGTTGTTGTCAAAGTTGAATCGTCGTAGGCAACGGCAGAAATTTTGTATGATGATCTATCGCTGACCTCCCCACAGCCCTCGTGCTGGTGGAAAGTGATCAAATAAAAGTAGTCCGGAGTCTTTGCATTGACCCAGTCCCATTGCTTAATAGCATAGTCCATGGCGGTTTTGTCCTTAAACTCCAAGGCCATCTTATCGCCCGTGCATTTAATGCTCTCGGTGAGTTTATCCATATCCTCGAGTAAAATCAACGGGTGATCAGGGTCTGGCTTTTGCACAGTCACGTTGGCAAGATGTGTTCTTTCATTTTCTATTGTATCATATTCATTAATATCTCTTCTAAGTTCGGGCTTAAACGTAAACTTCATCAAGTAAACGAGCAAAAGAGTAACATACCAATGATACCTCCATAATGCAGAACAACAGAGTCTCGTAGATGAAGGACTGACAAATCACCGTCTCTCTTCCTCAGGTGAGGATACAAGCTACCCTCTCGAACTGGCAGCAATCTTGCAGCTTGCCGAGAATCTTTTGGTGTTCCAGCTGATCTAACAGTTTCGACATGGCTAAGATTGATTAATTGGTCGGCATATGCTCCAATTCCAAGAGAGGAAGACAACAGAAAGAGAAAGAGGTTTCCCGAAACCATCTTTCGAAGATAAAGATATGAAAAGATAGAAAGAACAAGAGAAAAAGAATTGAAAAAAGGTAGTATCAGAAGAAATGAATGTTTGTACCGCGCAGCAGCAGTATTGTCAAGACCTGCTTGATAATGTTTTTTTTATGGCTTGTTTATTGGATTGATATGATTGAAGAATGAAAGCGATGAGGGGGCACCTACGTACTACTTATATAGAAATAAGGCATGGTATTATGAATCTCAGAATATCCATAATATTCTGAGTTATTGGAGCCGTGGATCTAGCCCGAACGCCCGCCTCTGCAGCTTGCAGCTGGCCTAGTACCTGTGCACTCGGTTCTTCGGTTGCACAGAATACACTGTCGAAGCACTATTGAACAGGGACAAGGATGGTCCTGATTCGGACAAGGATAGCAAAATATGCAACATCGGAAAGCGAATGGCTGTGTTGGGTCACTTGCATGGATGTGGGCACAATGCAGGAATCAGGCCTAAAGAGGCCTGGATACTCTAGAATCGGTAAAAAAAATCCGATTTACATAGATATTCTAGCACATTTCTACCATATAATTGCCATGCGATATAGTTCAAGCGTTTCAGGTGGCTAGAAAAACGTGAAATATCGTACGATCCAAGCCTTTTAAAATTCTCTCCGCGGATAGTTTCAAGGGAAAATGCGCAACCGAAAAAAAAGGAATAGACGCCACTGTACAGCCTAGAAGAAGCTGCAATCGGAATCGTATTCAGAGGTGGCAATTGACTTTACGATATGCATGAAGGACTAGTTAACGGTTACAAGACTTAGGAGCGGACGAGACTCGCTTCCATTCGGGGCACCCTCGGCTTCACTTTACATATATGGGTATTGAAGCATTTCAGGCGACCCACAGGATCGCTAAAACCAATACTATCGCTATAAACTACCTATCCCGCAAATTTTGAAAATAGAAAGAGAGTAAAATGAAGCGATTTGCTATAATTCCACTCCGTACATGCTCGCAAAATATCAAAATACCATTAGATTCGATAGAATTCCCATTGCATTGATCGAGCTCGAGCTCGTCTGAGTCTAAATCACAACCACGTTGACCTTGGTTCACTTTCATCCGAAAGCTTGTTGGATAGTGCACAAGCTCACGGGTTAATATCTTCCCGCTGGCCTTTACGAAAACGGAGGCCCTGGATTATTTGGGGTTAGAATGATATCTCGCTGCGCCTCCACATAGCGATTCCGGTATTAAGATATGCCATCATAACTTTCATAAATCCATGCGTATAGTATGAGTTTTCAGAAAGGGACGGACAAATTCTCCTCCCGAGAAATGTCTAAAAATTTTTAAAAGCCACGTGTATTGGAGGGGTCCAAAACAAGCGTTCTCGGCTCTGTATCAGAATCTTGAATCGAGACCATTCGCACTTTCACGCGACCCCCCAGTATCAAACCAGACATCTGAACAATAGTTGGTGGGACGTCATCGCACATGAGTAGGTGAAAACTTTTTATCGGTTCATAGGGTTCCTGGTTTGGGATGGCAACCCAGGCTCTCGCATAAAGGAATTCCCAGGCTTGACAGTCGATATTTCGAAACCCCCCTTCCTTCCGCATAACTCCTCTCTAGCCTTTTCTCTCTCACTCCCATACAAACAGAAAAGGAGCAAAGCGTGGGGAAGAAGGTGTAGTACTATAGTAAGAACCCCAAATCTGAGTTTGTTTCAATAGAAGGTATCAGCTCCGGGTCGCTCACATCTATCAAAAAGCGTGCCATATTCAACCTCTAGGAACGAGATTAGCCATATGGGTCGTATTAGGACTATAGACAGACAAGAACTTAAACCGGCAACAAGATAAGACAACAGTTCCGTTGAAAATACTTATTAGCCGGGCTACATATATACTACGAGAATCGGAATTCGATTCGGAAGGGGGGCAGCTACTCCAGACGAGCCCTTCAACAATGAAATCAATGGGCAGAGCGAATGGATCCAGAATCGACAATATTAGGTTTGATCATGGTCCAACCAAATATATAAATTGAAGCAATACGAGACTTGACTTGGAGCTCTGCCACTCATCACGCGTGTTATGTGTTTTAGATTCAGAATATGGACTAATTCAAATGACGCAAACTGTTTGAATTGAATTTAAAAATATTTACATTGAAGCGAAAGAAATTGCGGAGCCCAAATTACAATTCAGGGGAAAAAGATAGAAAGAAATGACAGGATGTTTCTAAAAGGGAAAAAAGAAGAAGGGAAAGCTGGTTACCAGCCGTTGATGCAGCACCTTCCAATACTTCAACGGGCGTAACCAAGATAACCAGGCATGCGGTCCATCTTCATCAGACAAGACTATGCAAAGCTATTCATCGTACCTAATTACTCTACCACCATGACTTCATCATTTAGCGTAGCGGTCTCTCGGCGGCCAACCCGAGCTCCCGCCTGAGAACGACCTATCGTGCCCCATACCTATGCTCGCTCTTCTTCCACCTGCCCCTGCAGCCTGCTCTTCGACCCTAAACTCCTCCCACTCTCCGCCTCCACTCAATCGACTCCTCCCCATGACGCCTGAATTATAGTTCTGTGTGGTATCTCTCTTCACCACAACAGGAGCCGGCGAGGTATGACTATCTCGCCACGAATAGTGACTGATTGGTGTGGCAGCCTGGAAGTCTGGTTCGTATTCACCCTGTCCAGAGTTACCCTCCAATTCGATTTTACGCCGACGAGCCTCAACCCACTTTTCACGCTCACGAGCTTCGCGGTCCCAATCTTCTTCCGCGCGCTTGCGAATTGCGGCTTCTTCGTCCGAATCGTAGTCGACATTTGCGGCGTAATTTGATGAAGGGTCTGGAGATGCCATAGTGTCCATGGTTATATTGATACCCTGCGGTGGCATCGGCATTGGAACATGGCCTCCTTGGTGATACCCGCGAATCTCATCCTCTTCTTGAGGTATTGGTGGTGATTTGGTTTGTTTCTTGAGACGTACTTCGATAGCGGCAATTTCAGCGCGCTTAGCAGCCATGACTTTGTAAAGATCTTCCTCCTCTCTATCAAAATCAGAAATCCGCTTGTCATTATGTTTAGGGATTGGTGGAGATAGTGGACTATTTTTTGGAGGAATAGACGGGCCGGCGGGGGCTTGGGGTGTAAGTTTCGTGGTTTCGTAGAGGAATGGGTTCAGTTGGTCGTAATCATCGTCGTCATACTCTAGACGAGGAGCTTCTTCTTTCCTTTGGGGGACAGTCCGAGAATAAGGGCTTCTCTCCCGTTCGATCCCGTTGTCATTTGGCAGTGGCGGTGGGGGTTTGCTCTCATACCTGTCGCCTCGAAGATGCTCTGCGACAATTTCCTCTGCAATTGGAGGGGGGACGTAACCACCAGCGCCGCCCCTGGGAGTAATTGATCGATTACCAGAATCGCGATCCTGTAGAACTTCCAAAACTCGTTGATCACGCTCTCTTTCGCGGTCTTTCTGGTCTTGTTCTTTCCCCCGGCTGGGTGGTGGATTACTACCAGATCTATTTGCAGGTGCTGCCTGTTCTTCATCTGGAACGAATAAATCCCACAGCCGCCTGGTATCGCCATCTGCAAACTTCGGGAATGAATCTCTCAATAGGGTTTTTGGGAACCTTCTGAACATTGGATCCTTCTCAAATGGGTTTTGGATAGGGCATTGTTTTAAGACTGTTATCAGCCGTTTTGCTTCCTGATCCGGATCCGCAAGGATTTGAATTGTCATCCATCTCTCGAACCCTTGTGGTGTTAAACTAGGAACCGTGGGAGGGACTGATGCCGAATCTTTTGGTGGGACCAAGTGATGATGACAGTTAAGAGCCTGATAGACATCAGAAAGCTCTTTTACAGGTCGTCCAAGAAAGAAATCTATGAACATTGTTAGTAAAGAAATGACCACTATTAAGTTCCCGCTGTGCGAACTTACTCTCCCAGCTCAGCCGTTCCCCACCAGGAATTCTGAATTTAGCGTAGAACCCCAACATCTTGGGTGGCGTTATAACTATAGAGTTTTTAGGCTCAAATTCTGTAATCTATTGCATGTATTAGCTTGCTACCTCGCCAAAAATATATCTTATAGATGTATCTACTCACAATATAATCCGCAAGCCCTCTCAGAAATTGAGATAAAGTGACTGTTGCGGTAGGTGGACTTTCACTCTTATCAAATAAATCGCCCCAAAAACTATCCCCTCTCAGTATCTCAGGCTCGTCCTCTGGTTGTTCTAAAACCGGGTCCCTCTGCCTTGCCGCAGCTTTAATTCCAACAATAGGATTATTCAGACCCATATTCATATTTCTTAACGGTAAATCATTTCTAGGCGAGGATTCGCGGATAGTCTCATCGGGGAATGCACCAGGCATTCTGCTCGTCGTACCAGCGGCAGATGCAGGCCGTCTAATTGCAGATCCAGCATTTATATTATAAGAACTGTTGACATTGTTAACATTTAAAGGGGGTGGCGAGGGACGGCCGTAACTTGGATGGTTTGGAGCGTATGTTGCACTTTGTATCGGGCGCGCATTATACGCAGCCGAAGTTTTTGGAGGGACACCAATTGGTGGCGGAGGCGGCGGAGGACTTCGGGCTCGGTTTGGGCCCACATTCATACTGCCGTATCCTGGCTGTAACTGTGGCGATTGCGGGCCTACATTATACTGGTCGTTGCGGTAGTACTGGGCATTCACATAATTCGATCCAGTTTGATAGTAATTCGAAGAACTGGTGGTTTGAGAAGGCATTGCGGATGCCGGACGAGGCGGCGGTATATTCGAAGAGGGTGGCGGCGGGACCGGGTGGGGAGTGCTGGAAGAGGGATACATCGATGGGGGTGGGCTTGCCGCGCCAGTCCTTCGCGGTGCAAAGGTATTATAAAAATTGTGGGCATTTGTCGTAGCGGGCGACATTGGTGGGGGAGTATTGAGGTTCCGTCTAAGGTGCGCCATAGTGGCTACTATGTGAGATATCTAGGTATCTACGGAATATGGAGCGAAGTGAAAGATTTGTCGTCGTCTTTATCGTCGTCGTCGAGGGTTTAGACGGCGGACGTAGGAATAAGAAATGATGACTGCAGTGCTGGGTCTTGCGCGGTTTTTATTGCCCAGCTTCCAGATTCGCCAGTATTATTCTCTGACGCGGGATGTTACAGAAAGAAAAATTAGAAGCCGAAAATCGATATTTTGCGAGAAAAAATAAAAATACAGGTAGTGCTCTTATGGATTTAGAGAATTAAAAAAAATAAGGAGGAAAGATAAATGCAAACTGAGAAGGATGTCAAGAGAAAAGAGGAGACGACGTCGTCAAATAATGGCATTGTCCTCCAGGTGGAGGTTTCTCGATGATAGGGAAAATTAAAACCCAGATTTGCTTTTTGGGATGCTAAGTAAAGATTTCCGCAAGCTCCCCCGCAGCTGATCTAGGAGACTATAGATTGTGATTGGCTGCGATGGTTTGGGGGCGTTGGCATCAAATGGGTCTAGTCACAAGCAAGCTCCAACATGGTTGGCCGGGTCTGGTGGCTCTTTGCTTGTCTTGATGATACTAAGTTCTTGAGGTTTATTGAACTCCGGGAAAACGACCAGGGGCAGTGCGAATTATATGCTCTGCAGACGCTTTGAAGAGGATGCAGTGTATGTAGGTTTATGGGGGAGGCGCTAAAGATAGATCTTTGACTCTGAAGAATTGAAGTGAAGACACCTACCCGTCCGGCTGGGTTTAACGGACTGGGGTTTGCTAACTTTAACAGAAAATGGAAATTTCGCCAGGAACCAAACGGACGGGCGGCGCTTAGGGTCTTATTCATAAGCAACTTTAGCGGAAATGACGCATTCTTTGGATGTATCGAATATCTCAAAGGGTTGCTTAAGACGTGGCTTATATAGATTTTGAACGGACGGGTTGAAACGATAGTACTTACTAGAGCATTTGATATTATAATTATGTGGCCAGGTGGGTCCTCGATCTATTGTTTTTGCAGTCTCTAGATATCATACTGGAAGTTTTCCATCCTGCGCTTTTGCTTTTCTTATTTTTTCTATTTTTCCATTTTTCCATTTTTCTATTGTATTGTATTTTTATTTTATTTTTTTTATCGCCCATCGCCCATCTACAAAGGCGCCAAATCTGCAGGCTTTCATTTCTGACCACGCTATAGAATGAATATGGCCCTGTATGGTATTGGTGTGCGGTGTGTATTTCCGTCGTTCCATGGCCTCGGCGCTACGTCTACTAGTATAATGATTGTAACATTACATAGTTAGTTATCAGAAATACAGGTTGCAGTCCGTGTTTGAAGTTGGCGTTCGAGGATTGTTGAATAATTATACCCGATCCAGACTAAGGCTTGTTTGGCTTGCGATAGTTGAATTATGTTACTCAAGTTTGCGGATCATGAACCAGCCGAGGTTTTTTTTCCCTTCTCAAACGAAATTTCAAAACGAGGACATGGACACTCACTCTATTCCGCAGGTTCCCGTAATTTTCATACTCCTGCTACGTACGGAGTTTTAGAGACTTACGTATTCCTTTTCCCCTGCCACTTTCTTATCGTCCGTGCATTCATAATATACTTTGTATACGGAGTATCTCTGAATTCTTTAGATCTGTCAATACATACGTATACGTGACACAAGAAATCATGTCCGCAGATTCTAAAGCGGTCTGATTGAATCGAATCCATGCAGGTGTTATTCCGATAAGTCTTTTGAGGCGTTGGAAGCGAGAGTTCCAGGTCTTGGTATCTGCAGCTGAGCTCTTTTTAATGCCTGCTCGAGTTAACCGGACGCGCACTAACAACCCCGCCGTTTTGTCACTATCACCGCATTGCATTAGAGGCCACGATTCTCTTACGTGTATTTTTCATGAGCTCCCCTACCGAGGTAGTTTCAGAAATTATATTGTGATGCAACTCGCAGTTGGCCGATACTCTGAAATTCGTAATCCGGGGTAAAGGATTTGAGTTCATAAAGGGTCCTCCGTCAGTGTAGGCCGTAATTATCTAGATTCGAACAGGAAGTAACGAGCATCCATTGTCACCAGTCAATTGATCAAACAACATCAATTGATCAATCGAAGTCAATTGACGTACCAGTCCAAGTCAATTCATCAATTCACAGACACCAAAGATACAAATCACCACCGGAAAATCTTTTCCATAACAAACATTTTCATAATGTCTTCCTTCTCAACCCAAATGCTTGGCCCAATCGTCGGCCTGAACCTCTGGACTTTCGTTATCGAGGGTTGGATGTATGCCACTCGCATCCCCGCCACGGTACGCGCCCAGAAGACCGGAAAACTTACAATGCGGCCCGATATGACGAAAGAAGAGTACAACGGCGCGCTCCCGGCCAATGTCCGCTGGAAGGCCGACAACTACAACCACCTCATGGAGCAACCGCTGCAGTTTTACGCCATTGCTCTGGTCATCGCTCAATTGGGGCGGGGGAACAAAGTTGACTTGGGATTGGCTTGGGCTTATGTGGGTATCCGAGTTGTGCATTCGCTGGTTCAATGCTTGTCAAACAAAATCCCAACGAGATTTGGGATCTTCTTGGCCAGTTCTGGGGTTTTGGCGGCATTGACGGTGAGGGCTGGTATCGCAGTATTCGGCGCTTGAACTGCATCCGATATATCTATCTGGCCAGGGGTTAGAAACCTGAAATATCTCCACTTTTTATACGATTGTACAGGACTTACTCAATTACTTTGAACGGGGCAAGCTATGTTGAATAGCCCCCACTTGATACCAAACACGGGCGACGCTACTGCGAACGTCGAACCCCTAAACACCTTTTTAACGTGCTAGGGATCGATTGTTTCCAAGCGGTAGTGCTTGGAGATGTATATAATTGCCAACTAGTAGTTTCTTAGAATACACTATTTTACCGTTACTCTGGACAGGTACAGTACATGTGCCTCCCCACCCCGGGTTGATACGATCATATAGCGAGGAAACTTGAATCTTAAACTGGTACTATCGTCGATTTTGATGCATTAGTATTTAATTATGATCTAAATGTTTGGTTTATTCTTTAGCCGCATGTGAAAGCGAGATCACTAGCTGAATTAATTCTGCTCTGTCAATGCACCACAGTACGTATGATGGATCACTTACTTTGTAAGTATAAGGTATAAGTAGTTCTACTTTGTTGTTTCGGGATTGATTCGTTTCCAGTTGATGTATTTCGAACGCACTCTTTGGAAACAACATGTCGGAAAGGAACATAATTAGGCAGATAAACGCCTTCTATTTCTGTATCTATATCATCTTCAATATTCTTCAATATATATATGAACCCGCTATACCCTTCCCTCAATATCGCTGACCGCTGGTTCGGTACTACACTGAGGCTGTCTGTGCCACTCGCCGCCCAGCCCCACAGGTGTGGGTCCGGTACCTGAGTTGTAGGCGCCCGAGTTATGCAAGCAAGATCTTAGCTTAGGTGCATGTAAAAATAATGCAAGATGCCGTTCCCTCCTTTCCATGATTCTATAAAGCTTCTTCGTAGCCGCTGCCACAATTCAGCATTGCAGCTCCAAGCCGCTACCAAAGTTGATAACCCTGCAAAAGACGTTAAAGCTTACCATTTCAAAAAAAAAAAAAAAAAAAAAAAGGTCACATGAGTTTGAAAGTTTATATCTCAGGAGGGGGACATCGAAGATCTTAGTAGGTGAGATACTATAGCTAGTTTCGGCGTTTAAAACTTCGCGGTTAGGAGGCATTACACTTGGATTCTATACTTCATGTCATTGACTATATATTTGGAAAAAAATATCTATCCAATCGTCAGCTGTGTGCATCATCTTAAACATAGGTTAGGTTCATACATTTTGTTAAAATGAAATTCTCTATGATTCCATTAACTCATGTTTGATCGAATCGCAACATCGGGACAATATAAACATCTATGAAATTTGATTCTAGTTCAAGTTCGAGTCGAAATGCTACAATAATCTATGTGCGCTAATTATAAAGAAACAATCAACACCTTCCATTTAACAATCACTTGTCATCAGTAAACTAACCGGTATGGTGCGATTTTGGGCAGCTATACTTGCTGACCGCGAGATCTGCAACCGAGTCTCGAAACCTAATTAGCGATTTTTGAAGAGGGGTATTTCGAAATTTCCTAGATTGACAGATCTACTAGCTAGTATACTTAAGCGCTCAAGCTACTAGTCAGAAGTACGCTTCAAGGAGAAAGGAGAAAGACATCGATCTTGTGCCCGGCCGTAGGCATTGTACGCTCGGTACACGAGCCGATATATTGCAAACACTTTAACACATCGATTGCTCCGAATCCTGATGTAAGTAACTTAAGCAAAAATTCAAGATGATCGCTGACTCTAATCTAACCATGAATTACATATAGTAGCTCTTTTAAAGTAAAAAAAAAGAAATAGAAATAAAAAAATAAGAAATAATAATCTTTGAACCTTAATTTCAAGCTAGCTTATGATTATTGCACTGCATCGAAGGGCCGGCGCCTCAGCCGTCCGCCACAGCGCTGCTGCCTTTTCTTACCTGATTAACCAATCGGTCTTTGACTTCGACTCGAGCTCGTCATTGCCTCTGCTCGCATGACAAGCAGCCGGCTTACCCATGCATTTTATCTTTCCGGTTTCGAATTAATTCGTTCACATCCATCGGATATAGGATACTCTTTGGATACTGTTCAGACACCATAATTACGATTGCAACATCAGTGGACCTAATGTTTTTCCAAGACCTCAATTAAGAGCGATATTGTATAAATCCCATACCACCCGATACGCCTTTTGAGAGCCAGGTTTTAATGTTAGGTCTTTAAAGTATAATCTGTATGCTCGAGTACTCCAGTTCGATCAATATATGCAATACAGCACTGCCACCTATATAGGCCTATTAATCTTGGCTTACAATTGGTGGAAGTTCAAAGCTGGATCTGGTTGATCTTTCTTATATTAGAAAAACAGCCCGCTGATATCTAGGAGAACATGTACAATGTGGGCCACGTGGGGACGTCCTCCATGTGCTGTAAGGTTCCGCACCTATCCATCGGATCTACGCATTACTTTTCGGATCTAAAGGGAGAAATAAGCAATTGCACTCGTAGCTCTGTGAACCTTATATCATCAATACCAGAGCCGCCTTAAATATCCAAGCTTCGTCGCGATTTTTTCAGCCGGGAGCTTGAAAACTATAACATGGCAAACGTATTTAATTAGAATAGCATCGATTTTAAAACAAGCATTAGCAGTCAAAAAAAAGTTTTTAATCTTGCTAGTTGCGAAATAGCAGAGACAAATGGTTAAATCTGTCCAGACCAACTATGTAGTTTTTCAACCCAGAAAATTGCGAACAAATGGGTAATAGACTCAGGCAAATACACGTTCGAGGTCATTGTTCATACTTTAAATGTTCGGGATAAAATTCTTTAACAATTTATTGAGCTAGGGTCATCCTTCCTTGCCAGGCTATAGAAAATAATGGTCCGAAACCTATAAGCACGTTATTCAGTTCCAGTGACTATACATGTATATATACATGTAAAGCTGTGGAATCGTGAGTGCACACTAATGTATTGGCACCTCGGCCTCGTACGATACGTATTCGCCCAGAGAATCTTGGTTCAAAGAAAAGTACAATTGCATCCGAGTGTAGTTATGGTTTTCTATAGGACAATGTAGGAACTAACAACAAAAGGCTTCTACCTTATAAGTTCGTATGAACAGAACCCGCATCTAAAGACTAGATTAAGCGGGCTTCAGCCGCTGAAGTCGTTCAACTTCTGGGCAATGTGCCGAAATATCCGTATTCCCGGCTTCTCGATTTCAATACGCATGCTTTATCGTAAAGGACTCGTTAACTCGTCATCGTTCAAATGCGGGTTATCTACGCGCGGATCCTATGGAGTTCTATATACAACCAGTGCTTCGTCCTGCCCAGAACAGCCAAGCAAGCGATTTGAACACCAATCAACATGCCCATTTTTGGTGGTGAACTAGCTTCGTTTTTGGAGACGACTCAAGCTTCGCCTTTCGGGTACGGCGCAACACAGGGATTGTATCGATCAGGGCATGTTAATCCATTGCCGGATTATTCATAATACAGCCGTTGACATGTCACTGAATATTGGGAGCATTTGATGCTAGCGTGTATAGCGGTGCCTGTATACAGTTAGCCATAACCACTATCGTGGGCCTTCTCGGTTCAACTTGTTTCTTTTTTCTTTTCTTCTTTCGAAGCTTTCTTTTGCAAATTCTTTAATTCTGTTAGCATGTGTACAATACAATGCAGTGCTCTGCAGGCCTGGGCTCCTATCGCTGGATTCGATTCCTCGGGTGCTGCCGAACCGTACTCTTTGAAGACTAATTGGAAATGCTTTTTTTCTTAATACCAGAAAGAGATATGTACTTACTTATCATGGGGCCAAATAAATTGAGCTCGATTCCCTTCCGCTTCCTGTTTGTATCTACCATCCGTCATCACCACCTTGGAGCCACTCTCTTCATAAAAAAACAAAAAAATACATTCTTTTGTAGCTCAACGATAACGACTTACATTCTTTGTTTTTCTTGGTTATCGATATATATAACGACACTCCTTCAATTTTGTCAATTATGAAGATCACATACGCACTCTTCGCTGTCGCCATTGGCGCTGACTTGGCTGCAGCCCACTGCAGAGAAGCTCTTGCAGCAGTTGCCAAATATAGGTGCCCTCTACCAAGTGAGTATCCTAATTACATGTATACATGCATTCGCTATCGATATAAACCATGAATCTTACATTCGTTTTGAAAACTTCTAGCCAAGCTTCTTACCAAAACCTGCACCAGGACGGTCACAAAGACCTGGGCTAAGACCTTACCCGGCGCCGTCCGCACGCGCACTGTTACAGTTTCCAAGACCAAGGTCAACGTAAAAACTATTACTATCAAAGGAAACCCACCTCCGCGAGTTACTGTCACCGCCACCAAATCTTTCACAATCACCCCAGGTACACCTGAGCCAAGCTATATTACCAAGACTGTCACAGGACCTGCACCGTCCGCTAGCACGGTCACCGAGACTGTCACCCAGCCTGCACCATCCGCTAGCACGGTCACCGAGACTGTCACTCAACCTGCACCGTCCGCTAGCACGGTCACCGAAACTGTCACCCAGCCTGCACCGTCCGCAAGCACAGTCACGGTGACTAATACTGTCACTGGAGAGGAGCCTGAGGCATCTATAATCACTCACACTGTCACTGTTACTGGAGGCGGACCTGGCCCGGCTACCGTCAGTGAGACAAAAGGTGGTGATGAACCTACTACAACTCCAACTCCCTCTGATGACGCTGGTGGCAAGGGAGCTGACCCAACTCCAACTCCAACTTCCTCCGAGGACGCTGGTGGTAAGGGAGCTGACCCACCTACTGATGATGGCTACGGCGGTGAGGAGGACAATGGATACGGCGGTGGGGAGGACAATGGATACGGCGGTTATTAGATTAGTGGATGATATTTTATCACGAATTTACGAAGCTCTATGAGGCTATGATTTTTATGATATTACGATTTGTCTCCATGTATTTCATACGATTTGGACGGATCCAGAATCCGATGGTTAGGTCATTTAAGAAGATAAGAAATATAAATGTATTATAGCGGCTATGGAGCTGTTATAATTACTTCAAATACACTTTATAAGCTGCTACTAGCTACTTAGGATCTGGCCTACCCATAGAGATTGCTTGTCACAGGTAAGGTATATTTCAGTGGTGTGTTGGTCTTGTGGCATTTCGAGAGCAGCCTGCTCTATTGGTCTATGTGGTACAGAGGAATATATAATATAAGTTCATGTCTTAAGATAATATTTTGGTATTCAAAAGGACAAAAATAGATCTAGAGAAAGGAAGAAAAGGAGAGATTAAAAGTTATCTTGTTTATAAAAATATAACTTGCCTTTATACAGTTAATAAGGCTATCACAATGAGACAAAATCTTCGTGGAGAGTAGACTAGACTTCGAACATCAATCATGCCACTCACATCTATGCAACCTCCCCCAGAACCCCGCCCTCCGCATTTGTCTTATACATGAACCTGCTCTTAGCGCCATCAGTAACTCCAGATACCAAGTTATCACACCAAAACTGTCTATCAGTCATCAATATTTTCCTCCCTATCTCTCCGTCCCCACCAATCAGTACATCTTCGTCCAACGTGCCTGAAAATATATCAATCTCAGCTGGAGTCTTGGTATTCCTCCAACTCAAAGTAGACCCGCATGTTTGGCAAAAGCCCCGAAAGACTCCGTTACTGGAGGAATATTCACGGAAAGAGCGGTCCTCGCAAGTCCATGTTATTTGAGAGGGAGTGACTGTGAGAATGTGGGACATGAGAGCTCCTGTGGCTTTGCGGCATTGTGTGCAATGGCATATATTATTTTTCTAATATGGAAAAATATGACATCACTGGTTAGTCGACTGCATGTATTGTTTTCAATGTCTCGACGTCAAAATTAACATCGAGACTATCTTTAGGGTATATTGAAACATTCTGCCGGGAAGTGTGTTGCAATGCCGGTCATGCTTGAACATTGTTCCACGGATCCACCGGTTATACAAACGGGGACCAGAAATCAGGGAGGTAACTACCTTGGGTGGCCAGCAGCCCTGTGGGAAAGCAATTGAATACTTGACAGCTTTGCACAGGCACCCGCCAGAAATGGGCTCATGAGTCCCGGTTTCAGTATCCGACATCACGGTGACCGAAAAAGTCGTCGGTTCAAATCGGTTAGATGCAGAATATTGCATAGGCCCGAAGCAGGAGCTAAGGGCACAATGGTAGGCTTCCGATCCGTCCGGTTGGTTAAAAGTAAGCTTATTCGTCCAAAAGACAGTTACACGAAATGTCGTGTTATTTCGGAAGTCTAAGGTGCTAAGGATTGAACATCTCCTGCTCTGGCGAACCAAGTGGAGTCACATTCCGCTTCAGATGCAGACCTTTGTCAGCAGCGGGGGTAAAGTTCCTCGAAGGACGAAGGAAGCTTCGATAAGCCGATTAATCCATCGTGGAAGACCGAGCTCGATGGTACGGAGTAAATTACCCGGCTTTTCTCTCTCTCCTATGCATGCAGTTGTGAAGCTTACTCATAGAGCTACTGGCGCCTACATGTATACAGAGTAATATATGCTGCATTGACGAGAAGCATTGGTCCAGGTATGTATGTCTGCAAATCCAAATTGGTGCGTCAACCGCTCGTTCGCTCTGAGGAGGAACAAATTGCATGATTTTCGTACGAACGGTACAACCGTTGTCGGGTCCGATGTGGATATCTCCGGTCCACCTAACAGGCCTTTTCATGGGTGCGCCAGGCACTAAGAAAAAGCTTGGTATCATTTTTGACCAATCCGCTGGCCCTCCTTCTTGGAGTCGGAGAAACACGAGGTTTTCCACCGACATTTCGGCAGGATGAGGTCATTTCATGGGAGTTTTGAAATACGGGCATAGGTTTTTTTCCCTTGTCGGTCGATATTTCAAGAGGGATTGCAGAGCAACCAGTTTGCGTAATCCCAAAGACCCAGACTAAGTATTAACAATCCAAAGACTCATTTCATCCGACGGGCCCAAGGGGGCTTCTAGAATATTAATAGTTTTCCTCCAATGCACAGGCCGTTAGGGCAAAGTTCTTTTTGAAATAAAATATTTTGTATTTTTCTTCTAGCGGTTGTTGCCGGTTTTCCGGTTTCAGGCATTCTAGGGACCCGCTTTGATCTAGATGTTAAATTTTTTTAAATTTTTTTCCTCTTGAAGCCCCATGGATTAGCGTTCTCCACTTATGCCTCTCAGAAAAGGGGATATAGACGATATTATCAAAATTCTGTGATTGAGGCTTCACGGGAAAATATGCATGACCGCATGAACTCGACGTAATTCATGATTACAAAGAAATACACTGGACTGGTCCGGTTCCGAAAAAACAAGCTTCGAAGTCAACGTCGGGGACGATCAGGGTGTGCATTATACCCCCCGCGATGGAAGCACGGCCTGAGGATTTAACGGTTCATTTAATCGGAGATAAAATCATCCTTGTTAGAGTGTGGGCCATGGCCAAAGGAACATCTGCATGTTTGGGTTACTGACGACGTCGAGTGGATGAAGCGATATTGGTCTGTTCGGCCCATCCGGCCTCCAAACAATAGCCCAGAATGAGCCGAGGCCACGCGCTAGCGCATCCCGAATCAGGATCCCATGCTCTTGCCATGTTTGCAAGGGCTGACTGATCTCCCCGTCTTTAGTATCCGGCCGAGTACAATTTTTTGGCTTACCAAAAAAAAAAAGATTATTTACATAGGGAAAGCAAGTTATTTTATTATATTTAGGGCCTCGATTCCCCTCCTGATTCTGTAGCTTTTCTAGTCTGTCCTCAGTATCTAACTATCGATCTATCTATAATCTACTCACAGTAACTTCAGTATTTGCACAATCGATAGCATCATTTCCCGTATCACCGAATATTCGTTTCTGCGTAAATTCATTCATTCTTTCGGCTTAATTTTCTATAGCTACTAAAACGTCACACAGACGTACGACCAACACAATGAACGAGGTAGACCTCGAACTTATTAAATCAGAGGAGGATGCTCGTCGCCATCACACTCGCTCGAGCACTGAAGAGCGGCGTTTGGAATTGGAAGCTTCTGCTTTGCAGAAGAAGGAAACAGGTTACTCAAATTCCTTAGACGAATCAACAGGGCCTGGGGTTTCCCGTGTTCCAACTGCTCGAGATGTTGAAGAAGATGGAGCAGAAGCCGAGCGAGTAAGGACGCTCATTTCGAGAACTAGGACAGCACAATCTGTCCATGCCAATACAATTGGTGCGAACTCTACTCGGACAAGATCAAGGAAGGAAAAACTACCACCATTTGGTAGCGGAAAAGACTATCCGCCCGACCTTCCAGATATCGAGAAATACATTGTGGAGTTTGAAGGATTCGGTAGGTTCTAACTAGTCCATCAACTGGGGTATCCCGCTTAAGCTTTTAGGTGCATATGGACTAACATGCATTCTCTAGATGATCCAATGCACCCACAAAATTGGACCACCAAGAAGAAGTTTGGTCTGTCAGCCTTGCTCGCATCTACTTGTGCCTTCTGTGTTTGGGGTTCAAGTATCTTCTCGCCTGCCATTCCCGCTGTTGCTAGAGAATTCGGCGTAAGCAATGAAGTCGGTACTCTCGGTGTTTCCCTCTACGTCCTCGGATTCGCTACCGGCCCTTTGATCTGGGCCCCCCTTTCCGAATTATACGGTCGAAGATTGCCATTGCTTATTGGAAATCTTGGGTTCGCTATCTTCCAACTCGGTGTCGCTGGTGGAAAGGATCTTCAGACAATTATTATCTGTCGATTTTTCGGTGGTCTCTTCGCTGCCTGTCCTTTGGCCGTCGTCGGTGGTGCATTCGCTGATATCTGGGATAATGCACATCGTGGATATGCCATCAACGTATTCGCTCTTACCGTCTCAGTCCCCGCACTTCTAGCACCAATTGCCGGTTCTTTCATCACCAACAGCTACCTCGGCTGGAGATGGACTGAATGGATCACAGCTATCATCGGGTTTGTTTTGCTTGGTCTCAACCTTCTCTTCCTCGAGGAAACCTATGCGCCTGTTGTTCTGGTAGAAAAGGCGAGGACACTTCGACGATTGACCAAGAACTGGGGTATTCACGCCAAACAAGAACAAATCGAAGTCGACTTTAAGGAACTCATTGAAAAGAACTTGTCCCGACCCTTAAAGCTTCTCTTTACCGAGCCAATTGTCTTCTTCGTCTCCCTCTACGTCGCTTTCATCTACGGTATGCTTTATCTCATGCTTACAGCCTATCCAATCGTTTTCATCCAGTACCACCACATCATGGGCGGCAAATCTTCGCTTCCTTTTATTGGCCTCATTCTCGGACAAATTACTGGTGGTATGATTGTTTTCCTTTGGGAACCTTATTATCTCAAAGCCCTTAAAGCCAACCGCGGCATCCCAATCCCCGAGAAGCGTCTCCCGCCTGCAATGCTTGGTGGTTTCTTGTTTCCCATCGGTATCTTCTGGTTCGCTTGGACTGGTAACTACCCGGGTATTCACTGGATCGTCCCAACCCTCTCTGGTCTCTTTACTGGCGCGGGTATCTTCCTCATCTTCCTACAATGCCTCAACTACATCATCGACGCATATCTTATGTTCGCCGCCTCAGCAATTGCAGCAAATACTTTCTTGCGATCCATCTTTGGTGCTGTTTTCCCGCTCTTTGCGACCTACATGTTCAATTCCTTGAAGGTCAACTGGGCTGGTACACTCTTGGCCCTTGTCAGTGTAGTCTTGCTACCTTGTCCATTCATCTTTTACAAGTATGGCAAGCAACTCAGGCAGAAGAGCAAGTATGCGCCAACTTTTGGTGATAACTAAGAAGAGTCATCATTTGATGGTGGGAGTGTACAAATACGGAATGAGTAGACAAAAGTTTGCATATCGGCATCACTATACCCTGGTTCTTTGAGTTCGGCCTTACGATTTTTCTTTTCTTTTCAGTAGCTTTGTCATTTCTTTTTTTTAAATTCATTGCGAATTGGTCTCTTTTTGATACATGTTAATGGCATTTGTAAAAAACACCCTACATTGGATCGGCGTTTCTGGGACTATGGTACGATATCATGTCAAGGATCATACAATTTTGGGAGGCTACTATGTTAGCCTTGAAATTCATAATACTTGTAATATTTAAGCACATAATTGATAACATTTTATCTAATATCAAAACAAAACTTCCTAATCTTGCGATATTGTGGCAATGTTCTAGCTTTCTATTCTATTCGTCCAAGTTTATTGAGTATAATACGCATGTATACCCATGGAAATGCCTTTAATCTCAAATTGGAATCTCGGAACTAAATAGCTCGCACTAAATCTACGTAAAGATAAAAATCGCGGTTCGCGGAACCCACGTGTATGAATGCTCAACCGCCGTCAGCCCCACCTCCCTAAACATCAGTAGCCCTAAACTCCTCAGCCCATTTGAACAATCCTTCAAAATCCCGACACATATGTACATTACCAAATCCATCTACACCATTAAGCTCCTTCTTCCACGGCTCCAAAGCCGAATCCGCGGAGCAAACAATACTATTCCTCAAATACTCCAAACAATGCTTCGTATGCACAACATCATGATCATGAGACCCCAAAGCGCTAAAATAGGACTTGACAACCATATGCAAACAATGCAATTGATGGAAGGAGGAGACGGCGAATTGCCCTTTATGTGTGGTATCCTGTGATACGAGGGATTCCGGCAACGGAGTGGCTGAGGATTGTATAAGTTTTGACAAGGATATGAAGCCGCGGCCGTCTAATATAGGTATCATAACGATTTGCGGGAGCGGGAGCGGATATGCCTGGTTAGTGATGGTGGGGCATCGAAAAGGGCAGGTGTAACATATGAGAATGTTCTGGACATGGGGCAAATATACATACTGGGGATTAAGCTTTTCCAGGCTTTCTCGCTTGCCTTCCTTCCTTCCTCGGTTGAGCGGTTGAGGTATATTGGATCATCTTGGAAGATCTTGGGGATTGTTCCTACTATAAACGGGTTTTGGGTTTTTTTACATCAGAGCTCTTAAAATATAAACTGGGAGGTATTCGCTTAGATTTACGGGATGCAGAAGTATGATATGCATAACGGGAATATAGACGAAAAGGAAAAATAAAATAAAAATTTAAGGTATCGTACATGTCGGAATGTTTAACTTCGGGAGCGAGGTTGATCCCTGCGCTTGAGTAACTTTATCTTGGGCCGTTATCGGCTCAATAAATGCGAAATATGCGGATTGTACTAGTAGAGTTAAGATGCATGAAGTTATGGCCGTGACAATAACGGCGATGGTGATTGGTGCTGGGTTGAAGAGAGATTTTAGGTTTCGTGATGGCTTATTACAATCGCGGGACTCCCCGAGCTCGCAAGATTCCTTAGAGATGAAGGGTTCGTTTTCTGTGCTTCTTCGTTCCATCGTGGGCCTAGAGCCGCAAGGCTGGGGTTAGGGATTCGAATTAATCAATTGACTTTGCGGGTTCGATTTGAAGAACAACGACGCCGAGCTCCTCGGTTTTTGTGTAGAGGAAGGAGATCAATGAATTCGAAAGATACATTTCGCCCCATAATCAATGAAAAAAATGATAAACTCGATCCATCCTTGCCCGTCTCTTGAAACGGTGTCCGCCCGGGTAAATTGCCCGACATCCGGGAGCCTTGTCGAATTGTCATACGTCTATCGTCCACCATTCTGTTGTATTTTATGTGTTGTATCCCGATTCGGTAATCCCGTATCCTGGCCTCCCAAGAACCCAAGCGCAAGCTCAAGCTCCACGGCTTGAGCCTCGACACCACGACATCACGATATCACGATATCTCGTAATACCCCGTAGATACTTCCACGATGGCTTCAACACCCGGGATCCCAGTCATTGCCATTATAGGCAAGCAGGTCAGCCTCAAACTCCACCCTCACATCGCAACTTAACCTCTGACCGAACCCCAAGCGCAGTTAAGCTAATACCTCTCCACAGAACAACCCAATCTACATCTACAACTCCCGCCTACCTCTCCCTTCCACATCTCTCACAACATCTCTAGACCTACACCTCCTACTACACTCCACGTTAGACGTGTTTGAAGCCCGATTACCCCAAAAAACCGCCGATCAGGACTTCGGCCTCCTCTTTGCGATCGATGAACGGTTGGCGGCGTACGGCTGGATGACGAATACGGGCGTTAAGTTCGTGGTTATCGTTGATCAGGGGTTTAATAGTAGTAGTGCATTAAGTACACGTGGTGGAGGGTTAGGAGGTGCCATTAGAGAGGCGGATTTGAAACCCGTACGTTCAAACGACTATAACCCTAAGGAAAAGGTTGGAATGACTACTAGGATATGGCTAACAGGGAATGCGTTTTTAGGTATTTAAATCGATACATACGGAGTATATTAAGTTAATTTCGAATCCGTTTTATGATCATGAGAGTAAGGAGATGGTAAAGAGTAAGAAGTTCTCAGCAGCGCTGGAGAAGATTGCGGAAACGGGGATTCCGGGGGTGTATTGATAAGCTAAGAAGAAGAAGGATGAAGAATATAACACGGATATTAGGAATAAGATCTACATACCGGAATTTGGATATTCGAGTGGGCTAGACGGTACCTAGGTACTGGCTTGGTGTTATATCGGGCACGGTCGGTATTTGATCGTTATTCAATCGTATAAGGCCCACCGCTAGGGTCTCCGAGATAGTCTGTGGCCTTGGGTCTTATGAGCTTAAATTGGGGTACGATTACACAGCGATAAATCCAAAGAGCCGCTGCAGGTTCTTGGGATTGCCTAGAGGCTCTCCATCAATGGGAATGACAAGAGCATGGTTTGGCAAACAGGCTCTAATAGAACCACGTTTTCATCTTTATTTCTTAGAAGGTAGCTTGGAACACGCCGAACCAACTATGAACCTCACTTTTTATTTTCTCCGAGATACTGGCGATGGATTGGCTCTTATCTCGTAAACCAGAATTAATTGGCTCTTCTGATGTCAACTTATAGAAAATTTATTCTTTATTTCTATTGAAAGCAATGCGCTGTAAAGGTATCGTGCGTTAAAATACAAGAAAACATAGTGATAACTATCGTGGGTAATAGGGCTGGACAATGAAGTAGTAAAACAAAGATGAAGAAAGAAGGAGTGAGCCTCGATTACAAGGCTAAAAGCTCCTAGAACCCACAGAGTAATGAAATTTTATACAATAGAAAATGGAACCCAGGAGGACGTAGCGCATAAGGGTGACCTTTGGAAGACGTAGATTGTTCCTGGTGGATGATCGGAACGCCTCGGCACCGCCCATCAATATCTCACCCTCTGGGTGATTACTGAGCGCCTCTCTCATTGATAACAACACCCCATGGATGGCTAACTTTGCCATACATGATCTCCTTCAACCAAGTCTTGATGGCAGCGGCATAAGCACCAGACTTACATCCATCCGCGGTTGTGGTATTCATTGGCACCTCAATCCCCTTCTCAACTTCATGTTGAATATACGAGATCGGAGCAACAAAGAATGCAGTACCGCAGGCGAAAGCTTCGACAAGTCTTCCGCTCTCATACGCTTCAGCAATATCATCGATCGTATAGCTTTGTTCGACAACATCAAGTTTCTCGAGGTGCTGGACTTCCTTCAGCACCTCGGTAGGGTTATGAGAGAGGCGTGATTTAGCAAGCTCGATGACTGAGCGACGGGTAACGCCATCGAGAATGATCTTATCACCGAGAGGAGCAGTGATGAGTTCCAGGCGGCCAGAAGTTTTGTTTTTCCAGACAACGAAGAAGTTGGAGGCACCAGCTTCGGTAACACGGCCTTCGGATCCGAGGAGCCAAAGAATCTGGTCGAAACCCCGTTCACGAGCCTCGCCTTGAGCTTGGAGAGTTGGACCGTCTATCATCATTGAGTAAGCAGTTGAACATGTGCTTTTGCTGATTTATAATAAAAAACTTACAGTTCGCTCCGACTTTGCTCCATCCGTGGCCACCAGGCCACGCGCGAACACCCATATCCTCCTTCGAAGCAAGCAATCTCATACCATTCATGATTTCCATCGGTGGGAAGAGAACAGCAATAATGAATAATGTCGCCTCCCTCGGTTTTTGGACACCTAGAGCAGCTCCAGAAGCAATTACTGCTGGTCGAAGATAAATGAAAGTTTCGGCATTTGGGAGCCACTTTGGACAATCAACGGAAACGAAGTTTTTCACGAGTTCTTCGAGTTGCTCGGGGTCAATTGCTGGAAGGGCTATTCTGGTGCTCGACAGGTTCATTCTTTTGCAGTTGAGGTCCGGTCTGAAGAGACGGAGCTTGCCATCGACACCCCTATATGCCTTCATGCCTTCGAAAGCTTGAGTGGCATAGTGGATGCAAGAAGCAGTTGGCATAATGTCGAGGTGTCCGTAGGGTCGGAGCTGAGGAGCCTCCCAGCCGCCTTTTTCGGTCCACTTGACCGTCAACATGTGCTACAAAAAATCGTGCGTTAGCTCGTGGCTCGAAGGCTCTCCGAGAGGTTCAATTGGACCTCTTACATCAGTCGACGAGTTATGTTCTCTACGGATTGGGTCGTCTAAGGCAGGGACAACTCCTCCATGTTTGTTGAAGGTATAGGTCAGCTTCGAGGCATCTAGCTGTGGCTTGGTTGATTTGGCAAGATCGGCCTTCATGGCGGATACTGTCAGCTCGGAGGCTGTTGCTGCGACTGGGACTGCTGCTGGTGCCATTTTGGATGTGGAGATGGATCTTGATTTTTATGAATTTGCTGACTACTGCGTTGTGGTCTGTTGGATAATCCTGGTGGATGTAGGTATGGGGCTTCTTCTACTTTCGGTGAGATTTATGGTACAGAGAATTTGTCGTATTCAGACTTTGCGGGCAGAGAACATAAAACTCTTTTTAAAGCAAGTCCAATTAAGGTTGATGGGTCACAATAGGGGAAGTTTTTCTTTCGAAAATTTCTTTTCCTTTGTCTAAACTCTGGAGCTCTGAAGAAAAGAGAAGAAAGAAAAAAAGGTACTCAAAAGGGACGCTATTGCGAGCAGCTGTCTCAACTTATATAGTGCAAAGTCACAAGCTAGAGCTCTAACTGTTGGGAACTTGTTTAGGTTTTAATTGCCCATTAGTTACTTAATCAAAATTAAGTTAAGCTTGCAATTGCCTGCGCCAGGAGAACTTCCCTATCACTTCGGAACGTTTAAGGTCCACCCAGGTGACGCATTTTTCTTGCGAGGTCACATATGCTAGTCACGGATGCATTACCGCTATACTATGTACAATACACGATATCAATTGCCTAAGTACGGATTGGAACTTCTAAAATGAACGAACGGGCCGATGACGGCTCGAATCGTACGGTTGACGTGATATTTTACAATCCAGGGACCGGAAAACCTTAAATATACATCTTCCGGCTCAGTAACTACAAGTCCGACATAGGGGATTGAAGTTTTGGTGAAGGATCCACAAGCATAGCGGTGTTTTCAGAACTGATGCCGCGCATGGATTTTTTTGTTTGTTGCTGAAATGCCGATGGTTGCCTGCGCTTCCCCAGAAGAACACCCTTCGCAAAGCGGCCGGCCTGGCATCGGAGACAACGCTGTCCCGTTCAATGCCTTGAAGGCACAAATGAAAGAGGCGCTCTTCGATTCGCTGTGCAAAGAGATTAAGTAATTCTCAACAAAGAAACGTAAAACAACGATAATGTGTAGTCCGAATCTGGATGTAATGGGCAAATCGAGAATGAAGTTCCGAGTCACGCGGACCATTACATTCTGTGCCAGCTGCCCTACAAGATTCGATTATATTTCTGGTCACACGGGCTGAGCTGCGCCTGTTTTGGGAGCGTTATAACTCTATATAACCTCATTTTGGAAACCGCACGCTGAACTTCATCGAGTACTAGCCACAGAGACGTAATTGTGATCTTCATTTAAACCTTTGGCAGGTGTCAAAAAAGCATGCCGGACCTTGGTACTACCAGCAAAAAATTGCATCGGCAGATGCTCATCGCATGTACATAAGTATCGCCCTGAGCTCTCGTTTGTGGGAAAGCGTCGGTTGATAACCTTCCAAATGCGACCCGACGGTAGCCGCTGCAAACCCCAGTTCGGCTACCGGCAACACAGTTTTCCCACAGGTGTAACAAGCCGTCGCGAGAATCTCGAACAGGATGACGTTTCCTAAGTCGGATATCTCTGCATTGGGAGTCCGAATCCGGGCCCAGCAGCCTAGAATTTTCGGACACGAGGCCCGGGAGGCTCCGAGACTTTGATTTTCTGGGATTTGGATTTCTAGATCCATGCCCGTTTTAGAGGCGTGATTTGATATCAAGATCTGAATGGTTCGCAATATGCCTAGAGAGTCCGAAATGATTCGGGTTATTCGTTAGAACGGCGACATAGGAATGAGGAAGGAGATGGAATCAGGCCTTGAAAAGCTTATTCGAACGTCCCTTGACTAGCTTTGTGAGATAGTCAGGCCTAGCTCTGAAGGTCATATATTTCCAGGAAGTCGTGCAATTATCCGTGAGATTGGCTTGGCAGATCGTGACGTTGGAATTTGGAGTTCAGATGTGTTGTTTCGACGCCAAATTATGGTGTTGCGAAAGCTTAAGCTACAGCTGGATTCGATTCGACGCCAATCCATCATAATATTCGCAGTAGTGTATTAGAGAATACGAATCCTACAGCTGGACGGGTTTCGTGAATGTAAAATTTCATCCGTAGTATTCCAATACGAAGCGGTGAAAAAGTCGGTTTAGAAATCTAGCGACGACCACCGTTAACCTAAGCCATCAAGACATATTAACTAAAGCTAGCATCGTATATTATCTAGATATACTATATCTATCTAGCATACATCCATCTCTTTAGTCCTTCTGAAGTTGGTCTGTATCTTCCAGATATATCGATGCCTAGGGAATAAAGTAAACAGCAATATCAAAAGTTCTGTAGCTCTCGAGCTTTATTAGGATAAGCATCAGCGATACGAGAAGCAAGTACTGTAGTAGCTTTAACCTCGACCTATAGGAATATCTTCCGGCCTCGGTCATTCTTTAGAGGCTTTAATTGTGATTAGCTAGCGTAGATACTACGAGGACCGCAATGGATAACGCTCCTTGATCATGTAGATATTGTTGGAATCTCTCTGTACGGGTGTGTGTAAACTGTGTGAAGTGCAGCTGGGCTCTCTACCTGTAGCTGGAAGTCCTTGGTGGCAGGACGAGAGCAACGACGGGTATAAAGGCATACCGTCTACAACCCTCAACGCTTCTTCTCCTCCCTTCCTCTTCTCTTCACCAACACCATCGCAAGCTCCCTGCTCAAGACATCAGCTACATCTTCTCGTGAACAACCCTCCTCAGCTTCACTTCAGATCGTATCTGCATCTTCTGTTCTCTGTATTCTTCTCTCTCATCCATCTCGAGATCTCTTTTGATTGATTTCGACCTTTTATTCGTTCTCGTCAGCTAGTTCACTTCACCTACCTCACTATCATCAACTGCAACTCATCCTCCGAGTTGTCCCTCAGTTGATCCTCTCTGACAATCTCCCCTTGTTCCATTGAACATTCCCAGCTCCCTTGATAGCTTCACCGTCATCTTGAAACTGCTCAAAAACATCATCTTGGTCTGTACTCCTTTGGTTCATCTGTTGTTCGTTGCAAGTAAGCTCCTGCTTCATCGTAACAACCCAACATTCCGACCTTCAGTCCTTCATCAGAGCTCTCTCAGTTCTTTAAGAACAGCTACTGAGCCTAACGATCAAGACTATCACTCTTCTTGGCTGCTTCACCATTTAGAAGTACTGTCTTTCATCTACAAGCTTGTCATCAAGAAATCTGGGATTTCAAGACGCGTCTTTTTCTTCCTCATTTGATCCTCTTATTGTTCCAAACACTGCTTCCTGCACCTACCCTTCTTCCTCTTAAGGAACGTCAAGGCTTTCAGCTCGCTTCATTGCTTCCCGATTTCTTGAACAATTATTCCAGCTGTTTATCTCTCCTTCGGATCTCACACTTCTCAAGCACTCAGTCGTTGTTGAGCCGTCTTCAGCAACAACCTCAGCTTTGCAGCTATTCCAGCAAACATTTGAAACGGTCAGTTACATCGTTTCCACGAAGGTTTAGATAATCCCTATCATTCCTTCCACTTAAATTCACTACTTCCCACAAGACCATCACTTCTGGTCTCGGTCTCGGCACCTCTCTCATCCGCACCTTTGTTGCTGTTTTCTCAACACCAGCAAAGAATATCCATTTCGTCACCAGTCGTCTTCAGTACGAAACATCATTTCGTCACCATCTTACATCTCTTCCAGTCATTGTGCAATTGGATCAAATATCAGCAACGATGTTTCACTCCAGGAAGACCAAGAACATCAAAGACTTGCCCGCCTTCAGCAGCCTTAAGGCTCAGGCCACCCTAGCAACCAAGAAAGTTGCAGAAAAACCCGAGGTTAAAGAGACCTCAGCACAGAAGAGGAAGTTGGAGGCATTGTCCGAAGACAATGACCCCAATCCAGCAAAACGAATCAGAAGGGCCCGGGAGCTGGTGGCTAAGCTCAAGGCCCTTAACGAGAAGGGTCCCAAGGCACTGGTGGATATGGGAAATCCGCCAGTGACCCCACAGAACAAGGTCTTGGGCGCCTTGAAGATTTGGGACTATTCGCCGCCGAAGACGACAGAGAGCGACAAGGCGATCCGTCTCCTCGTTGAGGAGCGGATGAACAACGAGGCCAAGTGCCAAGGGCTCCCGGAGAGGACGAGAGCCATTGTGCTCGAGGCGCGTGTTCACGCCGAGAAGAAGAAGGCGAAGGTGGAGGAGTTGAGGGCGCGGAGGGAGAACGCCCAGAGGTGGGCTTCTTTCAGAAGCCGCCTCGAGAGGGGTAGGCTGCCTGCGGACAGGCACCTACGGGGCCCTCTGCTGGTTGGAGAGAGGCGGGTCACCCGTGGTCGGGTTGACCAGGGGGGGTTGGAGAAGGATGTCCAAGACATCCTGAAGAGGTGGCGGGGGTCGGCGGTGGTTGAGGGGGCCTCCAATGCCCCGGCCTCTCCTCGGGAGGGCCGTGGGGCGGTGGAGAGGAGGAAGAAGGGAGAGATGGTGGGGCGGGTGAGCGGTAAGTCACTTCTCGGATCCAGCCATTAAATTTATATGATCTAACAAGTTACCTAGATGAGCTCACCAAAGTCAAGAAAGAGCTCATTGAGAGCAAGACCAGGGCCTGTGAGGCCAAGAAAGCCCGGCTTATTGGAGCCAGAGATGAGATCCTCGCGGCCACCGAGCAGGTCAAAAAGGACCTGGAGGAGTTCAAGGCCCGAAGCCGCCCCGGGCAGGTGAGGGCGGCAACAAGAACGGTGAAGGCGAACATTGTTCGCCTCACAGCCAAGTACGAGGCTCTGATGGCAGAGCACGAGCGGGCCTTCGACGAGGTCGTCAAGGCGGAGAGGGAGCTGGTGGAGCTCCGGGGCAAGGTAGCTAAGCTACCTACCGGGAACCCAGGGGTCGTGGGGGAGTTTGCGGAGGGGATCCTCAGGTCCTCGACCAAGACGGTCGAGGACCTGGGGGAGAAGGAAAAGGTACTTTAAAATTCTCTTGCTATAAATTTAACGTCATTGTTAACATAATTCCAACTTTAGGAAGGGCTGCGCAAGCAGCTAAAGGGAGAGAAGAGGGCTCTCCGATCCCTCCAGCGCCGTTAAGCCCCCTGCCTTGGATTCCCCTCCTCCTTCTCGCCCTTCAAACCAAATGCTCAATGCCGATTCCAAAACCGACATCACCAGATGAGATAGCTACCACTTCCGTATGATACTTCAGCAGAATGTGTGTGAGCATTAAAATCTCTTCTTCTTCTACACCTTCGGACGAGCCTACACGAGCTACTATTTACGATTTTACGGAAGAGATACGAAACAAAGGGGGCTTATTTATTATCCCTAAAGACGAGACTATATCACACATCTCGCGATTTTCTGCTTTCGACGGCTGCTAGTCACGGTTATGAGGCCTCCTGCTTTCCCTCAAAAATTATGTGGTTTACTTATTCTGTGTTTTTTTTTGTTTCCGTTTTATTTTAGCTACTCCCAAGGTATCTATCTCGAGGCCAGCTCTCAAGATCTTGCAAGATCAAGAGACGTCTCGCGGTTATCACTATTGTTACTATCGTTGTTATTACTATTACTACTAGAAAGACAAGTTGACTAGACCTGTTTCTCCTAGGCTCCTGATCGATTATCTTTGGATGACGATAGGTTGCAGAACTATTAGATCTGGTCTCGCCAGCTAGAATGAAATTAATCCCTTTCGTTCCCGTCAAAATTTAAAGTGCGTTATGTCCAAATTTATGCGTTGTGAGTGTAAAATGTAACACATTGCGCCTTTGACGACTCGGCCATTTCAAGCTCCAAAGCTTCGCTAGCTCCCAACTTTTCTACCTCGTACATTAAACATCCTCTCTTATTACCAACTTCCATAACCATCAACCCCCATAACCACTCTCCCCACCTTCAACCATGGAGGACCTCCTTACCCTCCACCGAAAACAGCTCCGCGACCTACAATCCGTCATAACCCAGAAGAAAAAATCCGCAACTAAAAAGACCCGGCGCGGTGTAAACGACGACTGCGAACGTCTAGAACGAGAATTAAAGGAAAAACAAGCATCAGAAATCGTCGCTTTAGAAAAGGAATTAAACCCTAATTCTGCCGCCGATGATGATGAGAACGAAGGTTCTTCAGAACCAGTTGTAGGAGACAATCCCGAGCCAGAAGGAGAAAAAGAAGAACAAGATATATCCTCCAAACTCCAAGAAACCACCCTCGAAGACCCCACCACCGCCACAAACCACGAAAGGATAGAACCCCCTTCATCATCATCCAAAAAGCCTAATAGAGCCAAAGCCCGCCTCGCCCGTCGTGCCGCCCAAATCGACGAAATCACAGCGCAAGCCCAACAAGAAGCCGCCGCACAACCAAACCCACGCGCCATAGAAGCAGAACGCATGAAACAGCTCTTCGCAGAAAACGGATTAACAGAGATCCAAATCGCCCCGGATGGTCACTGTTTATACTCTGCTTTTGCAGCGGGGTTGGAAGGCGCTGGAATTCCGTTGTCTGATGAATCGACATCATCTTCGTCGGAGGGGACGAAACAGAGGGGGTATACGTTTACTAGAAAGGCGGCAGGGAGGTATATCGAGTCCCATCCGGATGATTTTACACCGTTTTTGGAGGAAGGAGAGACGTTGGATGGGCATGTTAGGAAGGTTACTAGTACGGCCGAGTGGGGGGGTCAGATGGAGTTATTGGCGTTAGCGAAGGAGTATGGTGTCACTGTGAAAGTTGTGCAGGCTCAGGGGGTGGGAGTTACGGCTATGAATGAAGAAGAGGGTGAGAAGGCAGATGTGTGGTTGGCATATCATAGGAAGGGGTATGGGCTCGGTGAGCATTATAATGCTTTGAGGAAGAAGTAAAAAGAGTTGAGATGACGAGAGCATTTGTGGCCTTTAGACGAGTACGAGAGGTCTAGCATATATGGAGTATTGGCGTTCTTCTAGGATACATTTGAATTTGGGCTAAAATAAAGAACATAGAGAAAGTTATTATGCAAATGGTAATTATAGAATACTATACTTATACTATACTACCTAAGTAGGTAAAGATGATAATTTAGACACACCATTCTATCCGGACCCCTTTTGATACCACAATCTAGATAAACCTGCGCAAACATTCAGGATGTAAAGAAGCATAAAGATGAAGTTTTAAAAATTGTCGAGGTTGAATTGAAGAAAATTCAAAGATTAAACAATCCGCTAAAGCCACAGAATCGAAGCAATTGATCCATTTCTCTTTTTCCCTCGATATTGATTGCAATTCCAAATTATCATGGAATCGGAACTTATACATACCACACCGGTTTGCTATAACTCATAGACCACCTTCAAGATATAACTGACCAACTCGAGACCCAGACGGAGTCCCCGTTCACCGTGCCAAATTCTTCATCTGTATTTCTCTCCCAACATCCAATACCCTCGCCTCATCCTCATCAAGCTCGCTTCCATCTTCGCTGTCCTCATCATCACTCCCCTTAGCAGCGACCAATCCTCTTTCCTCATCCCCACTGTGTCCATGTCGTTTCGATCGAGCCTCTTTCTTTGTGACCTTCAAACTCTTCTTCTTTCGGTTCTTCTGGAACGCAACCCAGAAGCCCGATCCCAGAATCAAGAGACTACCAAGCCAACTTGTCCAAGCCGGCAACCTGTTCCAAAGAACCTTGTCCCATATTAATGCAAATATCATTTGTGCATAAACCTATATAACAGACCCATCATCATCATGTTAACCACTATCCCATCCAAACAAAATTTACCGAGAAAAGGGGGGAGGGAGAATCTTCAAAACACTAGACCTACCATCTGCGTAACCAACCCCGTCCTCTCCCTCTGAATCGCCGCCGTAAGCAAAAACTGCATACAAAACCCACAGATCCCAATCCCCAACAACAATATCCACTGCAAAAACGTCTGCGGTGCCTTAAACCCAATCCCCGGTAACACCAACAGTCCCAAAAACGACACGATCGTACACCATGCAGAAAAATAATTCACAGTAATCAACGGATGTGCTCGTTTCCCTATCCATCGGATCGTAGTATACGCCGAAGCCGCCCCCAAGACACCCAATAAAGCTACCATTATGGCTGTAAACCGTTGTGATGGTGTGGCTTCGTCGATGTCTAGTCGTATACCTTCATGTGTGGGTGAAGGTTCTGTGCCGCCGCTGCCGGTACTACCCTGATCTTTTGGATCACTGGAGCCGCCGCTGAATAACACCGTCGGTCGAGCGATAAGAATCACACCAAGAAGAGATACTAATCCAGCGATCATTTCAGTTTTGGTGAAAGGTTCTTTGAGGATGATGTAGCATGCGAAACCGGCGACCGAAGGCGCAAGGAAGGTTATGACGGTGGCGTCGGAAACGTCGAGGTAGGTTAATGAGTACTACACGGATATAATCGTTAGGAACCATAGTCGCATGTATATTAACCAATTGTACATACGTATAACCCAAAAACCTAATAAACTCATAGTTAGCATCATAGTCCCTTCAATATAATTCTTATATGATAGACTCAGAAACCTCACCCCAAAGAACCCTCCCACCCCTCTAGCGACCAAAAGCCACCGAACCCCCTTCGGCCCCAACGGAAAATGCGGAACCTGCGTATAATGCATATACGCACTACACAATACTACTGAAATAACCTGTCTCGTGAATAATATCTGTAGCGCATGCTATAATCCCCCAAAGTAGATCAAATCAGTCCCCCCCCAAAAAAAAAAAAAAGAACTTCAATGGCGCTGGCATGCACTCACAAACTCAGTATTAAAACCAGTCTCCAACAACCTCGTAATAACACTCATAATCGACGCAAACACCTGCGCAGCAAGCATAAGCAACATCCCCGAATTCCTATAAGCCAGCCTAGCGAGTTTATCCACCACAGAAGCATCACCCCCCAGCTCCGAAAACCCATCATCATCGTCGTCATCATCGCTATCATCCCCTAACTCTCCATTCGGATTACCCTTCCTAAAAGCCCTCAACTTCTTTAAATCCGGTGGTAACAACGGCGACGGCGTATCCGGCAAAAAACTAGCATTGGATAATAACGACGCATTTGATTCGTTATATTCTTCATGTTTGTATATCCCCTTTCCTGCATTCCTTTTCACCGGTGATACGGATCGTGATCGGAGGCCCGAGTTCTTGGGGAGTGGTAGTGTCGATGTTCGCGATATACCGGGTAAAGGTGTGATGCCATCGTCGTCCTCGGTATTGTTGGTCCCCTTTGGGCGTTTTCCACTCCCGCTTGACGTCAAATTCTTCGGTCTCGACGAGGACGCCATTATGGTTGTACAACGTATAGACGATTACGGTAAAAGAGAGCACCAGAGGGGGAGGCACCAATCGAAAAGTAAACCGAAAACGATATCCCAAAAAAAAAAAAAAAGGAAACGGATCTCCGCCAATTTTCGTGCTACCCGCGAAGCTTCGATCAAGCGGGCCTTAGCTTAGATGCATATTCTAGTCGTAATAAAAATCGGCTAGTGTGAATCTAAAGGGGAGGATAAATAGGTCCTAGTCAATCGAGTGTCATGAACAACCTTGCATTTTAAAGAGCAGTTCGGAATCACATACCAAAGTGAAAAAGCCCTATAAAAAGACTCGTAAGCAAAAAAAGACAAAACCGATGACGGCACCGGCAGCCGTCAGGAACTTGTTATCATTCAATACGATAGCTTCCAGCGCTAGCTTCTCGGCAACGGTACCCACCTCAGGCAGTTCAGCAGCTAGTAGTAGGCGGCAGAGAAGCGAAATGTATGTGGGTCGTTACAAAAGAATACGAAATGCGATTGATAAAGGATCGAATGGAATCCAACTGGGAACTCGTCTGAATTGATGAAAAGCACGAGCTTTTGCAGACCCGCAAATGCCACATTTTTCCGAACCATTCCTCCCCTAAATTTCTGAGGCTAAGCTTCGCTGAACTCGGATTGGATCGAGCCTCACAGCCATCAAGGTGGAGCATACAAACCTTGCATGTGGGCCCATGCGCTGGACTACCACATTTTCAACACAACCATGCATCTGACATGACTCTTACATACATTATCCCCATCATGAAAGGAGTTTGCCGTGGTACCATCAAAGCATCAATCGTCATATACCAGTCGATGTAACCAAATTTAAATATCTTTTATTTCCAACATCTTATGGAACCCTACAAAGATCCGCACCATGTCGCGACGTTCCACTCCAGGATACATCGACGTATAAAACTTGTACTATCTCAATTATACTCGAGTTAACATTATAAACGTATAGTTTAATTTGCATTAAATTAACAAAAATGTCAGCTTACCTCAACTTCCAAGGCATTATTACGTCCAGTTACCCCCTTCATACGCCACCAATCCCGTACCAACAGAATAACTCCGATAACGGCAACAGCCGCGCAAAGTATTCGAGGAAGTAGGCACTTTAATCCTATCTCTGGAGATTCCGATTTTGAGGGTTTGGAAGCGACTTCCGGTTCTCTTTCCTTAATATCCGCCATACGGTTGAATACTTTTGGTCCACTAGATTGGAACACCATTGTAATGATTCTGAGTAAAGTACGGTTATCGTTGGAGTTACGATTGTGAAAATGTGTACGGTATCTAGTGAAATTCCAGCGGACGTGGTTGTGGGTTCGGCTGTGGGTTTGGTTGTGGTTGTAGTCACGGTGACAGCGGCGGCCGTAGCCATCGTCGGGAGAGTGTTATCGGCGCACCATCCCGCGATACTGGGAAGGATGGAAAAAAACGTTCCCAACGTGGCGAGAATCAGGGGGAGTCTCTGCCAAGTTTGTGATCGTTCACTCCTGGCGTTGAACCGGACGCGCTTATGGTGCATAGCCTCTTCCAGATCCATTGCTAGGATCAAAGGCATGTTTCTGTTTTCTTACACAGGTACGAAATTACGTATACTGCCTAGAAGTGGTATCTTCGCATATAAAATTAGCTGAAATATCGTAATGATCAAATATACGATCTTGCAGTCGTGGGTCGAACGTTTAGGTATACGCACCGATGGTGTTTTTACAAATTCGGAATATTATAAGCAGGCGGGGTAGTACGTAGCTATCGATGGGTATCGGAGCATTGAAGTATATCGATACGGTATATTTACCTACTTGGTTACCACATTCATGTCTCATATGACCATGTAGATATGTTTATGACTGTCAACATGTATGAACATATGCATTCTATTATATTCTATTATATTCTATTATATTCTATTATATTCTATTCTTCCAATCTTGCCTCCAGACTAGTCTCATTCCCAGAGCACCGAACTACCTCCAGACCATGGTTAGACTACCAACCGATTAATATATTAGAAACTTTATTTTTAAATTTAGTTTATTGGATTTTATTTACACCTGTATATGCACGGATCGATTTCGAGTCGCTGACTTATTAAAGATAAGTATGCAAACGCTTAGCTCCGAGACTAGATCGATTGTGTATTTACTGTTATATGTTTAGAAATTAAGCAACTGGTGCTAGATTTTATTCTCAACGCTACCTCTGGTCCCTATAGAGCGCCATAGCGATATCTATAAAGAAAGTAAAAACCTACCGTCAGTGTATTATGTGATTTCGAGGGAGCCAGTGCATTCCAGTTTGGAGTGAGTTCTGTAAATTTACGTAAACGTCCCCCCTTGCTCTGGAATAATTATAATCTCCAGCACTATGTTTAAAAGTATTCGAGTCCAGAAGAGTCATGACAGACATCATCTGCGCATACACTTAAACGTTATAAACTTACACTTATGCAACGTTGTACAAAAGGAAGAGCCCAAAGCGCATTTCTCATCCGGACACCCAAGAAAAAAACACAGGTCCCAAAGCCTAGACACTATACCCCTGCCTCAACCTTCAAAGTCGGACCTCAATAAAAACAAAACAGCATATGCATATGCATATGCATACTACCATGCCATCATAACCCGAGGATAGCATCCCAAAAAAAGGAAAGGAAAGGAACAACAAAACAACCGTAGAATCTCCACAGTTCTAAATTCTGACTCCGTGGTTCAGCAAAACTCGAGCGGGATTCAACCTCATTCCAATAATACCATGAAGGACGAGCGATAAGGCCAAATACTGAGTGTGACCACCAGCACCTGAAAATATACGAGGCCAAGCCGTCGAGCTACCCTTGATAAAGGAGGATCCATCAGACTTGAGTGCACTACCAAGAGCACCTCCAGCCCCATTTATAATATTCAGAGTGTTATTGCTACCACCGAGTTGACCGAGAGGACCAGATGCGCCAGGAATATGCGTGGCGATACCACCAATTGCCTTTGTCAGAGTAAGAACGACACCGGATCCGTCAACAACGCTTTGAACAGCCTGTCCGACCCCGTCCGTGAGGCTTGAAAGTAAATCTTGAAATTGAGGTCCAATGCATTTCTCCTCTTCGCCTGTTTTAAGAATAGTGAGGGCGGATTTGCGAACCCTGAATCGAGGCCCATTTGTAGGATAGGCAGATATTGTCTCGATGCTGTCGCGGCGCGTGTTTCGTGTATAAGGAGGATATAAAGTCTCTCTCGGATCGCCTCCAAGTGGTCCCGTATACGTATCATTCGTGAGACTTTCATAGCAACCATCCTTAGCGCAACTGAACCCGTCGGCACAACAGCCACCTCCAAGGTCATCTGGGCATTCATGGTGCCCAGTCATGCAACCAAGTTCAAACGTAGGATATTCATCCGGATGATGCTCGATCCGCTCACACATAATAGGATCCTGGCAGCAGATGACACCAATAGAAGATCTCTCCGTCTTGTAGCAGGAATTCTCAAGTGAGACTTGAATAGGCGAGATAATAAGAATATCTGGACAGCAGATATTCTAATTACTTTCTTTTAGCAAAGAAGCCTAGCAAAAGAATGAATGAAAGAAGCCCTAATATTTAGGGATAACACTTACCGGCATGCCAACGTGACCACAGTTCGACATTCCATATCCACAGCCATACGAATTGTTCGACAAAAGACTATTGTTAAACTCCGGAACCAATTGAGGGAAATAAGACCTCACAGCCACCGCGACTTGAGTCGGCAGCACGCTTTGAGTTTCCCCCAAAGTCATAGTTTCGAAAGTAATTGTCGTCTTATCGTCCCAAACCCAAGAGGTAGTAGGGTAATCAGCTTTATTCGGTTGACCCTGTGGACTATCCATTTCTTTCGGACCGAGATTAGAAATAGGATCCGAAAGCACGTCTGGTTGGTAAGGGATCCAATGGGCATGACTGGCGCCAGTAAAGAGTAGGGAGAGGAGAAGTATGGGCTTGTAAGGCGCCATTTCGATCAAAAGACCTGTATTCTGAATGTGTTTTATAGGATTGTAGCTGTATTGATATACTCTGAATATAATCTAAGGACTCGAAACAATTACGGGTAGATAGAGGAATGTGGAGTAGAATTGAACACTGTGGAGAGGGAAGGAAAGGTGCGATGAGGGGATGGAGTGGAATTGAGAGCGGATCAGGCGTCTACTGGAGATATATTAAAAGATGGAAATGACGAATATATATTGTGAAATATTTACAGCTGTCTATCTAATAAGATATGCATAGATACTTCAACATATCAAACATTTAAAATAAATACAAAAAAGACTATTAGTATTATAGTTATTATTTGAAGTCAATGAACGGGTAACATAAACCCAGAAGAGAAATTCAGAAAAGCGTGCTCAAAAAACTGCTAGCCCGAAGAAAGAAGAAAAATGGCTTGTCTACCAAACGCCAGAAAGAAATAAGTCCCAGAAAAAGAAAAGGTGTATCCGAAGAACGCCGGTATGGATGCAATGCTAATATTCTAAAGGAGTGTGGTATTGAAAAAGTATTCAAAGGACGCCGATGCTAATGCAAATAAGAAAATAGAAAACAATAATCGATATCGTAAAATGTAGACGGTAATGATCGTATCGAATCGAAAAGATGAATATAGTAAGGATCGTAATCGTCTATAAAGCTGACGAAGCTATAAAAAAAAACGGGAAGTCCATGATTGTGCGTGGTTCACATAATACTGCAACCGGGCTTCATCCACTCCATGGCGCTCAAATCCTGCTCAACTCCAAGTTTCTTCAAACACTTGGGGCATTGAACGAAGTCTTCCTCGATGGCCTGGACCAACTTCTTTCGTCCGCAGTCTCGCCAGTTGAACTGGTTTCTGTTTGGGGTGCATCCGGATGTGAAGAGGAAATAAGTGCAGCCGCAGAACTTGTTGTTGATCTGAGTGAAGTAGCACATCTTGTAAAGACTGTGGAGGGTTTTATATATAAATATATAGAAGGATAAGGTGTATAAAAGAGGGAAGAATAGATATTATAGTTTGAGGAAATCTTTTGCTGATTCGAGTTCCGATTGAGGCTAAGATGGACGTAGTATTGTAGTTGTCTCTGATTCTGATTCTGATTCTGAGATTTCCCAAGTCCCACCCAAGACCGTTTTATATGTCTCTGATCGCGGAATTCCGACGGAAGATATATCGATATTAAAGATTACTGATTGTACCCCGCAAGTCGTATCAAACCACTCTTGCAGTCTCGAGGAGGAGTTCGACTGATTATTAAGAAGTTTAAAAAAAAGATAGGGAAAAGTAATCAAAGATAAAACGAAGGTAAAGAAGATTTCTGAGAAGAATGTAAAAGCCCCAAACACGTAAAAGAAATTAAAAAATGTAAAAAATTTAAAAATAAAGCAAAAGAGAAACGAAAGTGCACCGTAGACGAATGAGCAAACTCGTAGACGGGTTCTGTTTGAAGGAGTCGACAGACGAAGCGAACGGTTAACAACCAAAGAAAAGGCGTTGTGAAATGATGACAAATTTAGTATTAATACGTAAATACGATATAAGTAATCAATAAAAATATATAAAACGAATGAATTCACCGAAGGAGCACTAAGCGAGTGAAATGCCCCCTGGAGAAAAGAAAGATACGAGGTTTTAAAAGAAAGAATTAAAATATTATACGCATGAAGGCGTTTGGGGATAATTTGTCTGTTGTGGAAAAGTCAGGTTAACTTCCCAATTCTGAAGTGGTGATGTGATGTTTGAACTAAAAACCATAACATGCTAGCATGGGACCCTCAAGATTTATACATCATCGAAACTTGAGACTCCCATCACCATGAAACCAGGAAACCTAGCCCGATTTTTCCTACCAAGTCTATTTTTTCTTTCGGTATCCTATCCAAAAACATCACGATGTCTGTCTTCCCGTACCCCACTTGGCTAAGCCTCCCGATCAGGCCTCTAGCGGTCACCGGAAGGTAACTTCACGCGGGAGGTAAAAAAAGTTCACAGGTACTCACATACCTACTTACTTACCTAACCAAAGGTATGTACACCTTTTCCCAAAAGGATATCAACGTAAGTGGAGTTTCCGAATCAATCCATGCAGGAATGATCCCAGAATACAACCATGCTACCGCTCAATCAGGGTCCTCCAAGTGATCCGAACCCCCATACCCTTTAGATCATGGAGGAATCGAGAGGGGTTCGACGTATGCCCTGCCACCGCCCAGTCGCTTTCATTCACTTGGGAGACATATTGTGCATGCGACACATACATACACATGCAGCCCAAAGAGCCCTATGATCTGGCACACACATACATAAGTACATACATATGTAAGTATGTGCTCACATAGATACATCTTTGTAGTCGAATATAGCTTTTGCGGCGCTGTATACTCCGCGGTGAATATTTCTGCATATATTAAGCAACGTTAACCGGTTCACTGGACAGCGAACCAACAATGGACCCCCATCCCACACGGTCCCGTAGATTCGGTACCACTGGGTCCCCGATGTAACCCTCCCCAGCTTGTATGTCGAAAGACGGGAGCTGATATCACGATGCATCAATGCACGAAGATCATAGGCTATTATCCAAGATTGGATCAACCGGGTTTTCCTTTTTGGCATGCACGTACTCCATAAAAGCGAAAAGGGTCTCGTTAGGTCTTACTGATGAACGGTATATCGACGGTACACGCTTGTCCTTGTCCGTTTGGATACCCTGAAGATGGTATCTTATTCGCTCAGGCCGAGAAAGCCTTTTAACTTCTTTGTTTTTTTTGGTGGAGGCAAAGCATCACACGCCCAAAAATAAGGGGGAGACCATAGAATAGTTTAGGTCATTAAATTTTCTAACTTCGGATTCTTCTTTGTGTGTATATCAAAAAGTTAAGTTAAGATTTATGGGAAAGTCTGAACCCGTGCCAGGGGTGCCATGGGTGGACAACGATCCAGCCAAATTTAGCATCAAGATGCTCACCCACCACAAGCGAGTCAGGGGAGACTAATCTCCAAACGGGTAAATTTGCGACGTACATAAACCTCTGATTGGCTGGGACCTCGCGACCCAAGTAGATCCAACAATTCCACCACACAATGCATGCACCAAGCCGGTCGCCGAGTTATCATGCATCGTGAGTTCGCCAAATTTTTATTTGAAAAAAAGAGGAGCGCGGCTTCGAATGTGCTTCTAGAAGGGAAAATCACACGAACTCGCATGCATGTTTTTCTTCGTTAGATATGTAGGTGATTCTATCGGGGTCTGAACAGCCCTATCGACAAAACAACGGGTTAGCCGATGACATGGTCATTGATTCAGCCCTAACCATGCGACCCTTTATTTCGGATTCACCCGTAGAGAACCATGCATGCATGCATTCATTCATTCCTCTCTCTATACATACTTACATATATCGCAAGGATCTTGAGGCTGTCCACTTGTGGCTTCAAAGGAATCCCTTGACCAAGTGAGGCATGAACCTATTTTTAAGCATCTGCCGCACAAAAATAAATAAAAATAAAATAAAGTAAAAAGGTTGATGGGGTCTTGGTAGACCCGTAATTTCGGAGAAACCCATCGGGACGGATGTCACCCGATATCCATTCACTTCTGCACGGACAGTTTCTATACTTTACATCATCTTGCATTAGAGATGGGACCCTGAGCATGAGGCTATGGCGTGAGGAGCGAGATCGGAACTATTGACAAGTCATATGCAGATATATACCCACTGGGGAACCTATTACTCGGGAACTTGGAAACGGGTCAAAGAAGAAAAAAAAATTATATTTTAAAACTTTGTCTATATTCTCCAGCAATACCCTCCTCCCTCACCTCTCTTCCTCCCTCACCTCTCTCCCTCCCTTATCCTCTTCCATCTTACTATCGTTCTTTTGTTATTACAATATTATCCACGAGGGAAAAAAAAAACATCGGGTAATGTATCAAAAACCAAGTCTTCTTTTGAGAGAGGTGCTTCAGAAGAAAGAAAAATTCTGAGAAAAAGGAAACTGAAAGGGGAATGAAAGTTAAAAGTACCATAGGGTATCGTGTACGGGAATGAAATACCTCAGACCAGGTGAATTACCGATTGTATTTGAGGACCAGAAAGAAGGGAGGCAAAGGAAAGAATATAAGTACGAAAAAAAGGTTATACACGAAAGAATAAAGTATGTATATTCTCAACCAAGGTTGAGGAGAAAGGTCATTAGGGAACGCTTGCAGTCAACAAAAGAAAAACAGCATCATATCATTAACTAGAACCCAAAGGTTCCAAAAAAAAGGTAAAGTAAAGCTCCCCTAGCGTGTTAAAAGGCCACTCATACAGCGGGGTTGCTTGTGTGTATCTAATGAAAGGTTCGAAACAAAGGAAATATGAGTAAAGGAAGGTATAGCAATGCCAAAAAAAGAAGAAGAATAAACTCCCTAAATGCAAGTAACTAAAAATATTGAGAACAGAAATTTTTTCGCTTTCGCTTTTTGCTTCTAGTGAATGCCAGTCCTCCAAAGGGGAAAAAGAATACCAGGGATTTTTTGTTTCCGAAACATCAAAACCCTGTTTTTTTTGGTTGAAATGAAGTCTATGGTAGGCGTATCATGAAGGATGTATGTCATAATAAGTTAACAAAGGAAATTTACCAGGATGCTTGCTCCTTAGCCCAACAGCCTATCTAGCTCAACTCTTTCGACGGAAGCCGAGCTTTGCACCGATGCTGGCTCGGACCTTGGACTTGCCGGCGCTCTTATCGCTATTCAGGCTGTCAGAAGATCCGGTATATTCATCGTAGGGGTGTGCCCCGGCATATGACTTCGATGCTGGGAGCGATGGTGCTGATCCATTTTGGTATTGAGGACGTGATGGATATGGTTGGTGCTGCTGTTGTGGGGGCTGTTGTGGGGGCTGTTGCATACGCGGCGAAGGTGCCTGGGTACGCATGGATTTGGGTGGAGGAAGAGGAAGCTCAGTGGCTGGTGTCGATGCACTTGGCAGTTGTGGGTTGTATGGCCTAAGGGCCGGCAGGGCACCAGTGGAGCGTTTCTGTTGTAGCCTCGGGGCCGGTTGGTCCCCTACAGCTGGCAAAGGCTTCTGAGACGGCTGTTGCATTGGTCGTACCGGTGGACGCTGTGAGTTTGGTGGAGGTGGACCCGGTTTCCGTTCAACATTTTCTTCAGGGACGGGGCCTACGTCTACACCACTGTCGCGACCAGAGTTCGAGTCACCCTCTTCTGCGCCATTGCTACTTCCATTCTCACTTCTTTTCTCAAAGAACCCCTCAATGTTCTTTAGGATTATGTTATCATAAGGCGCCTCGCCTTCGGACAAGACCAAGTCGGTAAATCTGGCTTTCGGCATCATAGTCCGGCCAGTCTTACCCCACCATGTGCGTACACTTTGTTCGACCTCCTCAGCTTCAGGGATCAACTCTAACCGACGATACAGCCGAGCTTGGTGTGCTCTAGCATAAATACTCGAAGGTAGGTATAGAGCGGACGCATCATTCTGCGGGAAGCCCATTTCAAAGTATTCTATTGCCAGCATATCTCGGTCATTTCTCTGAAGCGGTGTAACACTGTCCTTAATCTTTGATTGGAGGGTCAATGATGGATGAGGGTATGTTAGAGCGCAGGCCAATGTCTGCAGTGGAATTGGATCCTGTGTCACAATGCCAAGTTAGCAACCCTCTCAAGGAATACATGGAGCAATTTTAGGCCTCTCCAGGCAGCTGACTCCACTACCGACTCGGCGGGTTCCGGAAATCACTCATGTTCGAAAAAAAGGGGGTTGAAACTTACAAACTTCTCGGGTGATACAGCCTTATTTGTTTCGATAACATGCATAACGAATTCTCCACACTCTGCTATTCTGCTCCCGCCTTTGGCATTCTTAAGCGCCTGCACGATCCTCCAAGCAAGGCGGACCAAGAGCCACATTCTGTAGATCTCGAATCTAATTTCACCGACCTGCTCTGGTACCCCGAAGGAAATCAACTCTTCTCGGTCGTTCCTTTTTAGGATATCCCAACATTTATTTAAGTGTGCAATGTGATCTGGCGTATTGAGGATTTGTCGGACAAAATTATTGACGGATGGTGATGGGACAGATGGTAGAAGGAATATTAGAACAGATTGATAAGTAGGCGGGTCGTCAAATAGATTTCTCGAAATGACAGTTTGCCAATTGATGATATTCTGTAGCTGCAATTCTGATTGGAACTATATTATGAATCTTAGCATCTATGTATTCATCGTACGTGTTATAAATGAGGTCTTTCTGTAAACTTACATTTCTACCAGCGGTAAAAGATGGGAATCCGGTGGATGGATTAGGAACTGGGCGGGGTGATATCGGGGCAGATCCTGGGCCTGGGCCTGGACCCGGACCCGGACCATATGAATTATTATGCGAAGGAGGCGATGGCCGTCTCTGCTGCTGGTGCTGAGGAGGTGGAGGATGCGATGGAGGAGAAGCACGTCTCGATCTAGGCTGTCCCTGAGCGGAATAGCGTGGGGAACGAGGCTTCGGCGAGAGCGATGGAGATCTCTTACGAGGCATTATATCATGCAGCTGAGGTATTTGGAGAGGACCAACTGGAGCCGTAGGATATGGCCCCCCTCCAACGTTTCCTCCCAAGGAGGTTAAAGAATTGTGAATAGAGCGAGAAGCCAACATCTTGGGTATCTTGTATTAAAAAAATTAAAAAATCGACGGTGTCCTCTGGCTTGAAACTGTAACGACACCGATTTCTTGGTATCGGCGCGAGTGCGAGTATTGTATTATATATTATTACGGGTAATGTGTTGGGCAGAAATGTGGTATTTTGAAGAGCGGGTTAGGAAGCGTTCAGGATTAATTTCGGATAACAAGGCAATTCCCTGCGAACGCTCTCGTAATTGGGCGGGTAGTGTCGTAATTGAAGAATCAAAGATGCATTGTAGCAGCTGAACTGAGGGAAACGGCGATAATGGTTTAGAATATCAGGAATGTTGGATAGATAGGGCGGTTTGCATGCACAGCCGGATGCAGCCAGTCCCAAATACGTTAAAATGGGGTGACGAATTCGAGACTTTGCCGAATATTCACGAACGTAACGCTGGAGATCTCCTTTCCCTTTTTCCTCTTCCTGGCGAGGATTACTTTTCCTTAACTTAGTGCTAAGCTGACAGTACTAATTTGCGAAGTATAGTCGGTCTTTGTCGGCGATATTTTGGTGGTAAGGGACGCAAGCGAGTGAGTGAGCTTTTTGGCTGGGATGTCTCTTCTTTTGAGAAACTACCTGTTAATTCCTGTCCGCTTCGACTTCTATTTCCACTAGCACTTCTGCTTCTGCTTCTGCTTCTGCTTTTACTGACTAGAAGCTAGTGAATGAATAATGTATGTACCGTGCTGTGCTGTAATGTACTGTTGGAATTCGAATGGCACGCTCCAGCCTCCACGTGGGTCCAGCGAGCGAAATTAAGTCGTCAAAACGGCCGCGGCTGCTATGCTATTTATATGTATGGTTATTAGAAAGAAAGAAAAGAATTCTTCAAGACAATCAAAGAAAAAATTAGAAGAAAAAAATAAAATAAGAAAATAAAATAAAATAAAAAATAACGAACGAACGAACGAGCAACAGAACGAACGTCGACGTCGATAAGCTGATTCGATTGACTATAAAATTTGACAGAAGGAGGGTCCTCTGATCTGGTTATGCTGGTGCGTTAGCCCTCGAACGGGAAGGAAATATATAAATTGGTTTGGGCTGGCGCACTGAAAACACCAGTTGGCGGCGAGATGTCCCAAATATAAAACAATATGACGAAGAGAGAAAGAAAGAAAAATAAAATAAAATAAGAAAGCCCAGAAAGTCCGGGCGTCTTTCTTGCTCCCTCGTTCTCAACTTTGGGGGTACATGCACCCGTCCGCCGCCGTATTTGCTTTTGGGCCGTTCTTTCCTACCGTCCTGGACAATTCTCGCTTCAGCCAATTGGCCCCGATCGAAATTTATCTTGTCCCAGGCTCCGCCATACATACTACGCAAGAACAAACCTTGCAAATCGAAAACCGAATGAAATCAAGCGGGACTCCTTCCACTTACTCGATCTGTTGTTTTGTTTCCGGCCGGTGTGCTCGAGCTTTTTTACTCTGCTTTGCTTTGCTTGCTACGATTGCATCCAAGGAGGGAAACTCTGTAGTTTATGATCTCGATCACGATCTGTTGACTAGACCCGGGTCGTTGTTGGTTTCTGAGACGGGTAATCCGGATTGCCCCCTGCAATTGAACCAAGCGTATGGGTTACAAGGTTGTGATTGTTCTTTTTTTATTTTTTATTTTGAGGAAGCAAGCACGATGCATATGCGTGATCTGTTGTATGTGTAGTTCGAAAGTTGTTTTCTTGCAAAATCCGGCCTTCGTACACACCGTGTCATAGCACACGGACGGGGCCAATCAGCATTTATAGATAGATACAATCTTTTTACAAAGACAACTGCAGACAGATGGACAGACAGACGGATTATCGTAATCCGTAATTTACACAGCAGCATCATACATATCATAACAGGTCTGTATTATGTCTTTAACTACTTATAGCCCACGGCCCATCAACAAGGTAGTGGCCCCCAGGCAGATCGCGATCCACACCCCAGGGCACAGGCATGCAAAGGTAGGTGCGCTTCGGACTTTAGACTGATATCATATACCTGGTCGATAATTCTGCGCTATCAGCAGAGCCCACTAGGCAAGTTATTGGATTTTCAATTAAACAGAGATATCACTCACAAAGAACGCAAGGCAAGTGGGACATATCCCATACCTAGTACTCACTTGGTAACTTACATACTACATGCCTAATACCTAGTTATTCCCATCCCACTGATAAGGGGCGGGCAAGCAAGTGGGTGGTGGTGGTAGTGGGTGCATGGTTTCCTCAGGTGCATGTTAGTTAGGGCACACCGGCGTTTGGAAAGAAATTATCAGTGCATGTCAATGTTTCGAGCTATTCGTGCTTTCCCAAGGGTTCGAGGGCTACTTTCCAAACTCGACCCTTCTTGTGTATCTCGGCTTGACTCTTGGGGGCTCTCAAAGTGCTTCCGCGATGTCCGGCGCTCTTCATTCTCCTCACTAAATTGGGAAGAAGCGGATCGGAATGTGCCATGGACGAATCAATGCCCCATCTCGCATTGGCTCGAGCTGGCCCCGGTTGATCCAGCATCCGGACAAGCGACATAGGAATCCTTGAGATGATTCAAGATGGATCGATGGCGGTCGGAACATTGTAAGAGAAGGAAATTAATAAAGGTCACATCTTAACATTAAACATTCATCATCATCACATCTCAGATATACCTCACTGAATTCAACAGGTCCTGACGTAACCAAAGTATTCTGAATCTCGATATTCCATTCAAAGAACGAGGTACGACAAAAGAGAAGAGAATGGGAGAGAAAAATAAAATATAATTAACCCCAACACGATATCGTGCATCGAGAGGTTGGCACCTCAAAAGCCTCCGTGTGCTCTCGGTTCGAATGGCTGACCGGGGCTTCCCCTGATAACTTCCAATTGGCACACAGGCCACGGCCTTCGTCTCGCCGTCGTGGTCTGATATCATGAGTGCCGTGGAACGGCTGTCAAACCTTGTTTCGTTTACCTCACCTATATTCAGCGGATTGGCTCGATCGATGCATTGCATAGACGGTGTTAAAGCGTAGCAATTCACAATTATCATCGAGGTGTCGCTGTCGTACAGCATTCATGCAGGAGCCCATCAGCCGCAGGTGCGGGCATTCTCCCATATGGCCATCCGAGAGTCCCGCGCCCCCTCATTCACTCTCCTCATCATGCGGTGGTACCTGAACCCTCGAAGCGAGGCGCGTCGACATGAGCGCTATTCGATTCGACTTGAAAAAGCGTGATAGCATTGTTATTGATCGACGCGACGCCGGCTCCATATTCGTGAGAGAGCTAATTTCCACAACAGCAGGAATCAATCAGCTGGGTGTGCGTCTGCCCCACGTTAGAGCTCTGGATAAGTGAAATTTCGAAATGCCTATTAAGTCTTCAACCCAACTGTGGTAAAGTCTAACAAGGGTTCGATTTTAACGTCTTGTTTTTAGTCGGCTTAATCTCGCCAAAGCACCAGTCAACCTGAAGAGGGCATAGAGGCGGCTCGCCATTCACAAAGTATAACTTTGCTTCATCACCGTCGACCAACGGAAAGGATCTTGCAGTAATCGGTTACCCAAAATGGATTGCGTGCGACCAATACCCCATACCTATCGCAGCCTTCTTGCTTCTCCGGTTGTCACTCGTGCATGAATCGAAGGGTATTCTTTCCTCTTCATCGACCATCATCGACCATCGCCACCTACTTTTTTTTTAGAAGTTGTGACGTGGCGATGGTGATTCGGTTGGAACAGACGGCAAGTTTAAAATTTTTCTCTCTTCCCTTCCCTGGCCTGGATCCTAGACTTGGGGGCTCTTTCTCGCCTTTTGCTTGGCTCCTTTCGCTGCAGATTTAATTCGACGATCTTAAACCCGATTATTATAGCCTTGGTCAGGCACTATGGGAGGCCTTGTTGTTGATCCAGATTTCATCGTTCACTCGAATTTGAGGCTAGGTTGATCCACCTGTGATTAACAAGCAGCCTAGAAGTTCTAGCCACTCTACTACATCGTATATCAACAAAGTGGCTTGAATGTGTACATGGTAGCACCCTGCTGTGATTAATATATAACGCAGCGCTCTTCAGAGATCGAAGGTACCTCTCTTTTGCCTTCGTAATTCGCTATTATTAGCGATTAAGAAACGACTCTCTATATTAATACTGTGGGTCAGCGGAGAAAACTGCCGTCGATTCAAGTTTTTTTTTCCCCTTCAAGTCTTCACGACGTTTAACGGGCGCTTGATGCGGCCAAATCAACGGCGTTATTTGACAATTAACAGGATAATATAAAAAAACAATAAAAAAAAAGAATATGTCGAAATATAAACATACACGAGGACGGCCCTCGGGACCCCGGAACATGATCTTTCCAAAACTCCGAATCCGCCGATTGGCTTACGTATAGAATTGTTTTTGCGCGCCCGCGGCCGCAGACCCTAAATATATACTCTATAAAAGCTTATATTTCAACCATTATCTGGAAACAATGGAGTTTTCCGGCGCGCGACGCAATGTTATGAGAAGAAATATCGCTACTTTCGGTGTACTGACAGGGGGATCCAAGGGCACGCCCTGTATGTACACACCGGCCCCGCCGAGATGGAGAAGGTATCCATAGTATCCATAGTATCCATAGTACACAAGAAGCTCATTTGTGATAATCAATGTTTATATCCGTAGTCTTATGGAAGAGTGGGGGGATTGGGAGGGAAAAACTTTGGAAGCTGCTAACTTTCCATGCATTGCATGCAGGTTTTTCATGCGTGCGCATGTATGGCTAACAGCTAGACTAGCCGCAGAGAAGCCTCTTGGAAAGATAAGTGCGGCAGGTAATTTCTTGAGAAGTTTGGGGAAATTGGTGATCTTTTTTCAGGGGATAACGAAGATAAACAGTTGATGTCCAACAGTCGATAGATAGTGTGCTCAAATGCAATTACATAGATGCGACTCTTTTTTTTATTTATTTATTTATTTTTTAAACTTTTCAAACTGAGAAGATCAGGGCTCGCTTCGACCCGAC